AATCCTTGAGTCCTTGAGTGGTGCTGTCGTTTTTTCCACCCTGGACCTAAACAGTGGATATTGGCAGGTTCGTATGGAAGAGGAAAGTCAAGATAAAACTGCCTTCATTTGCAGTCAGGGGCTATTTAATTTCAAGGTCATGGCTTTTGGCCTCAAAAATGCACCAGCGACCTTCCAGCGGTTGATGGAGAGAGTCCTGGGAGAGCTACAGCGTAAGAACTGTTTCGTCTATTTAGACGATATAATTATCTACTCTTCATCAATGGAACAGCACTTCCAGGACATCCAGGCTGTTTTGGATAAACTCAAAGACGCAAACCTGACTGTTAATATGAAGAAAACACATTTCTTCCGTACTTCTCTGAAGTTTCTTGGCCACATTGTGACTGCTACAGGAATTAAGGCCGATCCAGAAAAGACCAGAGCAGTCCAAGAATTTCCTGTGCCAAAGAACATGAAGGAAGTCCAGAGATTTTTGGGCATGGCCGGTTGGTATCATCGGTTTGTACCGAACTTTTCTCAAGTGGCCGAACCCCTGAATGCCTTAAAAAGAAAAGGTGCCAAATTCCTTTGGACTTCGCAATGTCAATTTTCTTTTCAAGCTCTAAAACAGCTCCTTGTGTCTCCACCTGTGTTGGGACATCCTAATCTGAATCTGCCATTTGTCATCTACACTGATGCAAGTGAGGTCGGCTTGGGAGCTGTCCTTGTGCAGCAAACAGGACTGGGCACGGAGGAAGTTCTGGCATTTGCCAGTCGTACCTTAAATCCGGCAGAAAGAAATTACACGACCACCGAGCAAGAATGTTTGGCAGTCGTGTGGGCCCTTGAAAAATGGAGGTACTACTTGGAAGGAAAATTCTTCACGGTCGTCACTGATCATTCTTCCTTGATGTGGGTGTTCAAAACACAGAAACCTAACACTCGTCTAATTCGGTGGGCTCTTCGACTCCAGGAATTCAACTTCACAGTGGAGTACAGGAAGGGGAAGTATAATACGGTTCCTGATGCTTTGTCCCGAGCCCCTGTGGACATTAATGAACCGGGCCTTTTGAGTTGTTCCACTGCTCTATCTTTGAGATCAAAGGTGAAATCCGAGGAAACAGAAGATCTGCCAATCACTGATCATGACATCTGGAAAGTACAGCAGACGGATTCAGATATTCACCATCTGTACGAACAAATAGTAGAATCAGGAGAAATCATTGTCAATTCCTCTACAAAATTTTCCATATTAGAGGATAAAGTCTACAGAGTCGTCCAGTTTCCACACAAAATTGTGTATCAAGTTTACATACCAAAAGCTCTCCGATATCAACTACTCCAGTCTCTTCATGAAGACCCTCTTGCTGGTCATCTTGGCAGATTCAAAACATTCAAAAGATTGCAAGCTTTGGTGTACTGGCCTAACTTAAACCAAGATGTCAAAGAGTTTGTACAAAACTGTCCCATTTGTCAGCGTTACAAGCCTGAATGTCGTCGACTTCCCGGCACCTTACAACAAACTATTGTACAACGTCCATGGGAAATGCTGGGAGTGGATCTGATGGGTCCATTCCCCAGGAGCTCATCTGGGAATGTTTATCTGATCGTTTTTGTGGATTATTATTCTCGTTGGGTTGAGCTTTTTAGTCTGCGCAAAGCCACCGCTGAGACTGTCTCACAAATACTTGTCAGAGAAATTCTTACCCGATGGGGAGTTCCAGATTACATCTTGTCTGATCGAGGATCACAGTTTGTCTCCTCTGTGTTCCAGGAGCTCTGTAAAAATTGGAACATCGGACACAAAATGACAACTGCATACCATCCCCAGACCAATCTCACTGAAAGGGTGAATCGTACACTAAAAACAATGGTGGCCTCCTACGTCAGTGACAATCATAAACATTGGGACAAGCTCCTACCAGAGTTCAGGTTTGCTCTTAATTCTGCTGTCCATGAGTCCACAGGAGTAACCCCAGCAGAGTTGAATCTCAATCGCTCACTCAGAGGGCCCATGGATGTGCTCTTACAACCACGAAATGTGTCTCCTGATGATTCTTGCTATGGAAAATTGACAGAATTAAATCTAATGAAGGAGTACGTTGAGAAGAAACTACTTTCCGCTCGTCAACGTCAAAAGCGTAACTATGACAAAAATCGTAGAGAAGTGGTGTTTGAGGAGAAGGACAGAGTATGGATGCGCACTCACCCTTATTCCAAGGCAGTTAAGTTTTTTTCAGCAAAAATTGCTCCAAAATGGCAAGGGCCCTACAGGATAGTTCGGAAATTAGGACCTCTGAACTATGAAATTGTCCTGGAGGACACTGGAGAAGACTTAAGAGTGGTACACGTCTCCAGGCTTAAACCCTGCTTTCCCTCTGCACAGGAACTTGAAGCACAACATCGTCCATTACTAGAAATCTTTAAGGAGGACAGTGATGAGGAGGAGTTTCTTGGATTTACTGAGAAAGACATTTGAAGACATCTGATTTGACGCCTTACCCTAATGGCCGGCTTTTCTTAAGGAGGGGGGAGTGTGACGATGTCATCAGGAAATAAATAAATAAATTGTAATTTAAATGTTCTACATTTATTTCCTCATTATTCATCTGTACATAACATTGAGCTCATTATTTACAAAAATCAAAACATCTCCATCATTTATGAAACTACAGTCATCGTACCTTTATGTAACTACAGTCATTGTAACCTGTGTGTCGAGTCAAGATGGCGCTGTCTTTAGTCCAGCCCCTAGTTATCTGGATGACGTGCATCGCTTATAAAAACATGGCGCCGGCTATCGAGATGCAGTGAGTACCTCGCGGAGCTCCTCAGAAGACTCCCGCGGCTGTTATTTGTTTTATCCGCGGTAAGAGTGTGTATCGTCGGCGTGCGTGCTAAGCAGATCGCGTTATGGATTACTAACAGGAAATTATCCTCATCGTTGTGTGACCTGCTGATTGTCGTTGAGATACTGCAGAGGAAACCGAACGAGTGAGTAGCCTAATTCCAAAACATGAACTGGATTGACGGATGAGGAGCCTAGAGCCTATATCTTCACGTCTGAGAAGCCAGGGAAAATGTGGACCAGACTCTTAAGGGGAAAAGGAGTCGTGAGTACAATTTAGCCAGCGCTGACATGACATGACCTGACTTAACTTTGACTGTTTTTGAGTGGGGAATTTTATTCTTTTTTTCCTCCTACTGACTATGTGAACTATTTTTGCTGTGGATTACTGTGGGGATTACTGATGGACAATTTATGAACTGTTTTTTGTTTTTTCACTTTCACTGCTGTGCTGAATATACATCTTTGAACGCAGTTCTATGTGTCCTGTCGTATTGAATGGTTGGTGGTCTATTTAAGAGTGATTATTATGGGTATTATTGTATTGAGTATGCGTGTATAATCTTTATCTCATTAAGTGTCGGGTTTTGTGACAGAACAAGACAGATGCACAAGATCTTTGTACGTTTCCTTAAAGTGAACTTTAATTAATGACAGAAATCCTGTCTGGCACCCCAGCATATAAAAACCCCAAACAAAGAGTGTGGGAAAACGTTACAGTGAGTGCGTGTGTGTGAGTGTGTGAGTGTGCGTGTGTGAGTGTGCGTGTGTGAGTGTGCGTGAGTGCGTGTGTGCGTGCGTGTGTGAGTGTGCGTGAGTGCGTGTGTGTGTGTGCGTGAGTGCGTGTGTGAGTGTGCGTGAGTGCGTGTGCGAGTGTGTGTGAGTGCGTGTGTGTGAGTGCGTGAGTGCGTGTGTGTGTGTGCGTGTGTGCGCGAGTGCGTGTGTGTGTGTGCGTGTGTGAGTGTGCGTGAGTGCGTGTGTGTGTGTGGGTGAGTGCGTGTGTGCGTGAGTGTGTGTGTGCGTGTGTGCGTGAGTGCGTGTGTGCGTGTGTGAGTGTGCGTGTGTGCGTGAGTGCGTGTGTGTGTGTGTGCGTGTGTGCATGTGTGAGTGTGCGTGAGTGCGTGTGTGAGTGTGTGTGAGTGCGTGTGTGTGAGTGTGCGTGTGTGAGTGTGCGTGAGTGCGTGTGTGTGTGTGCGTGAGTGCGTGTGTGAGTGTGTGTGAGTGCGTGTGTGCGTGTGTGTGAGTGCGTGTGAGTGTGCGTGTGTGAGTGTGCGTGAGTGCGTGTGTGCGTGTGCGTGAGTGCGTGTGTGAGTGTGTGAGTGCGTGTGTGCGTGTGTGTGAGTGTGTGAGTGTGCGTGTGTGAGTGTGCGTGAGTGCGTGTGTGTGCGTGAGTGCGTGTGTTTGTGTGCGTGTGTGCGTGTGTGCGTGTGTGAGTGTGCGTGAGTGCGTGAGTGCGTGTGTGTGAGTGCGTGTGTGTGAGTGTGCGTGTGTGAGTGTGCGTGAGTGCGTGTGTGCGTGTGTGAGTGTGCGTGAGTGCGTGTGTGTGTGTGCGTGAGTGCGTGTGTGAGTGTGTGAGTGCGTGCGTGCGTGTGTGTGAGTGCGTGTGAGTGTGCGTGCGTATGTGAGTGTGCGTGCGAATGTGCGTGTGCGTGAATGTGCGTGTGCGTGAGTGTGCGCGTGCGTGTGTGAGCGTGCGTGTGTGAGTGTGTGTGAGTGTGCGTGCGTGTGCGTGTGTGAGTGTGCGTGAGTGCGTGCGTGTGTGTGCGTGAGTGTGTGAGTGTGTGTGAGTGCGTGTGAGTGTGCGTGCGTATGTGCGTGTGTGAGTGTGTGTGAGTGCGTGCGTGCGTGTGTGTGAGTGCGTGTGAGTGTGCGTGCGTATGTGCGTGTGTGAGTGTGTGTGAGTGCGTGCGTGTGTGAGTGTGTGTGAGTGCGTGCGTGTGTGTGAGTGCGTGTGAGTGCGTGTGAGTGTGAGTGCGTGTGTGAGTGTGCGTGAGTGCGTGTGTGTGTAGGTGAGTGCGTGTGTGAGTGTGTGCGTGCGTGTGTGTGAGTGCGTGCGTGTGTGTGCGTGCGTGTGTGAGTGTGTGCACGTGTCTGAGTGTGCGCTCGCGTGCATGCGCGTGCGTGTGTGTGCATGCGTGCGTGTGTGTGCATGCGTGCGTGTGTGTGTTACCTGTCTGCTGGCAGTCCAGAACTTCCTCTGGAAGAACTCTAGTTTCATCTGAATACCCACAGCTGTTGAAACAATGAAACAAACCATAGCCAGTTGTCAGTGAACTTTCGAGAATTAAATATTTATAAAACAGATCGTTCTGGTAATGATAGGCTGAAACGCATTTGAAGTTGTTGTAAGGTTCTCAGTGAACACACACCTGACCTCAGTACTGTGCTGAACATTCACGGAGAACTACACTGCTTGGCAGAAAGATTATTATTTCTTATAAATAAATTATTAAATGTTTGCCGTTCTGTGTTTACTTTATGAAACCCTGCCAGATATATGCAGTAACCGCTTTATAAAATCAATAAGCCGTTTGTGTGTACAGCTCAGAGTCGTGTCTAACATCACCGCTTAGCACACACACACACACACACACACACACGTGTTCACAGCAAACGCCACACACTCAGGGTTTACACTTATCATGGATAACTTAGTTATAAGTTATAGTTGTCTACAGAACAAAAAACAAAACAAAAAAAAAGTTACATCTATCAGCTTTAACAAGAAGAGTGTGTATATGTTTAAAGGGGTGGTATAATGCTCCTGTGTGTGTGTGAAGTTTTACAAAATACCCCACAGATCATTTTTTATAGCATGTTAAAATTGGCACTTTTTGAGGGTGAGCAAAAACTATGTTGTCATCTTTCTTTTCTTCAGTACAAGCCTGCAGTAGCGAACCCCGAGCCAAAGCTTTACTGATCAGTTTTAAAGTCTTATCCATAAACTCTCTCTCTCTCCCTTTCATTATCATCAACATACGCAGTGAAGTACACAAAAACACTAGTTACAACTAACAGTAAACAATACAGACTATATGGCTTTTCAGGGGGAGCTTAATAAACTGGTAAACTTTATATCCGTAAAACAACTGCTATGAAGTGTAATAAAGTGCGCTCTCCCTTTCATTACTGCCGTGACCAGTCTCTCCGGAGACTTTGTTTCGTATTGTCCCTTTGAATTGACCCTCGTTCACAAAGCTGTCTGGAGTGAAATGATTTGCGCAGACATAAACGTAAAATGTATGTATATTTTGCGACGCATTACCTTCAAAACTAAAGCTAAAGCGCTGTGTCCTCAGTGGCTGGGAGGACGAGAGAAGAGGAAGAATGATCACTCTTACACCCAACAACAGAACACCGCATTGCTTACGATACATTGTCACTACAGCTGCGAGTGCGGACAAAATGGCGGATAGCGTACAGCTCGCTGGGGCGGTAACTATGGCATGGGCCTGAGCAGGATGATGTCACTGCTCAGAGAATCAAAACGCCATGTTTAATGAGACTGCTTTGTTAATGGGGATTAGTTGTATGCACAGGTGAGACCACCTGAGACCGCACTTCCGCCAGTGCCTTTTGTTCTGGCTGCAGGGTCGTCAGCCGGGAGCCACCCTTCACGGATGTTTCGCTCCTTTAATCCCGGAAAGGCCCCTGCAGCCAGCCTTAGGATTCGTCTTTCCCCCAAGCCTTGTCCTTTCTACGGAGCCAGAGCCAAAAGCTCCCTTGCTCTGCCTCCTCTGCCAGCTCCTTGAGGACTCTCTCCAGCTTGGCACCTCTGATGCCAAGGGTGTTAAGGAGTTGCTGGATGGAGGTTCCAGTGAAGCCCCTGAAACCAACTTCCACTGGGTAGGTGTATGCTCTCCACCCAGCTTGTGCGCATGCAGCTGCCAGGTCAGCGTACCTCTCCTTTGTCCTTTCAAAGGCAGCCTCCAGCCCATCCTCCCATGGCACGGTCAGTTCGGCCATAACGACTGTGTTTGTGACGATGGAGCAAATCACGATGTCTGGCCGGAGGGAGGTTATGGCGATCTCCTGAGGGAACTTCAACTGGGGATCCAGGTCAGCTCTAAGGGCCCAGGTGTCAGCAAGGACCTCTCTCTTACTGTGCTACTGTCTCCCCCTTGTCTAACAAACTGGAAGGGGGGGTGTGATGTTGGTGGGTTGGTATGGTTCACTTCGAGCCTGTGTGCTTCGATGGCTTCTGCCAGCTTTCGCAGGACTCTGTCGTGACCCGTAGCGTCCCTGGGTCAGCGCAGTCTTGCAGCTTGAGAGGATGTGCTGGAGGCTGGGGCGTTGGTGGCCGCAGAGCTGGCAGGGCTCCTCTGTGCCGGACCAGCGGTGCAGATTTTGGGGGCTTGGGAGAGTGTCATACGTGGCTCTGATCAAGAAACTTAGCCTTGCTTAGAGCAACTTCCATAGATCAGACCACGTGATGGAACTGTCGGTGACAGCCTCCCAGGTGGTCCCTCTGCCTTGCTGGGATTGGGTCACTGCCATGACCCTGTAGCCCTCCTCTTCCCCCCTCCTGACTTCCGAAATCACGAGCTGTTCCCTTTCCTCCCTTGAGGCTTTGGACCATGGCTTGGGTGGTGTTCGCCATCCAAAACCTGCCGTGCCATATTGCACCGCCCCTACGACCTCCTGGTGTTTTAGTCGGGTTATGGCCTTATGTGATGAGTCCCATCTTATTCCTGTTCTGACTTGGACTTTGGCACTCTGTACCACTGGGCCAGGTGAATCTTTTAGTTCGAACAGCAATCTCACCTTCTCCAGTTTATAGCCCAAGCTGATGGTTTTCAGCAGAAGTCTCAAGCTGTTCCTTCCGAATAGAGCTGCCCTTGACAGGCATCGGGGAAGGCCTAGCCACTTCCGGATGTAATTGTTTGCCTTAGCATCCATCTTCAGGACTGCTGAGAGGGGATGTCACACAGCTTTCAGGGCCACATGAGGCGATGGAACAGGGTGAACAGACCTTAAACCTGCCAGCTAGAGGGCTTTGGTCGATCTTCTTCAGACCAGCAGTGAGCTGTGCAGTCACAGAGACCACCATGGTTTTGACTGACAGGTCAGCCTCGACAGCCTTCCCAAGCTTTTTATTTATTAAAATAAAAGGAGAGGGTGGATTTTTATCATTGTAGGGTGATTGTGTTCACACACTGCCAACACACATTGTAAAAGTGGACTTTGTATAAGAAGTGCCCTTTAAAGGGGTCATGGCTGAGACACTCATCTTTCTTTGCTGAAGCCATTCTTTGTTCTATCATGATGAGGTGAAAGTTGTCTTCATCTCTCTAGCAGACGCCCGCAGGTCCTGTCTTCAATCAGCTGCTTTTCCTGATTCCCTCCACAGTCACTAAAGCCCCGCTCCAGCTCAAGAGAACAAGCCCAACTCAAACTCAAGTAAACATGTTCATTCTGAAGCCGGATCTGTCATATATGATGGTTTTGTTATGCAAGGACTCGCGAAGGCAGCCATTCTGTTGCAAAGTATTTATTTCTGTTTATGCATTGGCAAAATCAAGCCTTCGACCGAACAGCATTTATAGTAGACCTCAGGTAACATTATAAAATACATTCAATTCAATTCCTGACTCCTTCAAAATGGCCCATGTGTTTTAGTCATTATCACGTTCAAAACATGAGTGTAAGATTCTCCATAAGGAGAGCAGTCTCACACACACACACACACACACACACAGACACACACACACACGCAGAGACGCAGACAAGACACACACGCACACACACACACACACACGCAGAGACGCAGACACACACACGCAGAGACGCTGACACACACGCACACACACGCACACACACACACACACACGCACACACACACACACACACACACACACACACACACACACACACAATTTCCACTTGCACAACTAATGCAAATGTCAATGTAACAGTAATAGCACAAATGTTGTCAGATCTGCCTCTACAGTGATATCTATAAATACACCAGAGCTTATATCAGACAGATCAAGTGTAGTTTAGAGTGTGTGTGTGTGTGTGTGTGTGTGTGTGAAGTGGAAAGGTCAGTTTGAAAAGGAGTGAGAGAGAGATTTACAAAGCAGGGAACCTAAAATAAAATACCAATCAATCTCTATATAAATATCCATCTGTAAATTAAAGCAAGTAATTATTTATGAAATTTACTAGCAAGTTCTGAGTGAACTTAGTTTCAATGTAAATCATACAGCATTTTTATTCGCCGGGCTGTCGTGAGGTTCCACACTGGCCAGTGATGTTCTGCTGTTAGTTTTCTGGTTAACTTGAATGTTTGGGGCCCGTGTGTGTGTGTGTGATCATACAAACACAAGAGTGATGTGAAACGATCATCAGTTGAGCTCTTTAGACCAGAGTGTGTGTTCTTCAGTTGAAACAGCGAGTGAAGAGCACACACACTGAAGGCTGTGATGCTTCTCAAGGATAATGCCCATCGCATAGCGTTTGGAAATGCAAAGGAGGTCAGTGCTTTCTGAAGGCAGTGTGCATGTGAGCAACACCGCGTGAGCTGGTGAAGGAGCTTCAGGCATGTGCGCGCGCGTGTGTGTGTGTGTGTGTGTGAGGAAACGAGAGAAATGCTAGGGCACGCTCTGCCAGTTCTCTGCCTGCGGACACTCAGTGATGTCAGAGTAGTTCAACAGAACATTGTGTGTGTGCGTGTGTGTGTGCGCGTGTGTGAGCGAGAGAGAGAGAGAGAGAGAGAGAGAGCGGCCCTTGACAATGAGAGTGTGTTTTTATGTGAGTGTGGTTATGTATGAGGCAATAGATGTGAAGATGATACCAAGCAAAACATGACGGTTCTGGCATACATGCACATACACAGAGAACGAAAGAGAGATAGAAAGAGGCACAGGAGAAGAAAATGACTGTCGTCCAGTAACACAAGTTCTTATTTCTGGGATTGTGAGCTTTACTCTGATCAGACATGCTGGACTAACCCTGGACACGCTGACCGGAGGAACCGCTAGAAACCATGACAGGTGAGCTCACGCCACAGCGATAAACTCAAACATTAAACGGCCGGTGATCTTCGAGTTACTGGTCTATTCAGTGTCAATATTCAGTTCAATGATGATTCAATTCAGTTCAGTAATGTTGATGTGAAATTCATAAAGTATAAAGCAAAGTCGATTCAGTTATAAAGCCAGTGAAGTCAAATCGATAATGCGGTATTACTGTACATTTAGTTCCTTTACTTTTCCATTTGAGCCCATCAACATTTAACATTTTAAGAGGCTCCTAATTTGCTTTTCAAACTACAAAAATAAACATTCAACATGGTTGAAAATATGGAGGGAAGACATCCCTGTTCTCATTAGTCTGACGTCTGTGCCTTTAATTTAGCAACCCTTCAGGTTAGAAAACAGATCCAGTCCAAACACTGCTTCTATCTGTGTAAGAAGGGCAGCAGAACACAAGATTAAAGTGCGCAAACAGAGCAAACTGTCCACCGACGTCTCGCTGTGGTGCTTGACAAACACGGACTCAGATGTCTTACATCCCAGCATTGTTGGAGAGACACCACTGCTGCCAAAGTTTGTATACAGAGTGCATATCATTTGATTTTTTCCAAAATTTCATATTTCTATTTTTTTTTTAAACATTATTTTCAAAACATTGTTTATGCACTTGTAATTGTAGTGTAAACGCCCTCCTTCCACCTCTGAGCTGCATTTAAAAGTCTGAGGAAATGCATTTAAAGTCCACTCCAGATGCAGCTCTGCAGCGTAAAGAGGGATTTTGTTGATGCTTAATTTATTTGATTGGTAACATCCCTATAGTGTTATTTACTTTAAGTTATTAAAATATGTTCTACAGTATGTAACTTATATATGTAGTGCAATGAAACAATCCTTTCTCAGATAAAGAACTCGGGGGGAATCATCCAGAGAGTTAACTCTGGCAAAAGCATACGAGAGGCAAGCAAATGTCCCCAAGGATACACCTTTAGACGTGCCGGAGCGCTCCATACTTCTTGTGGAGTTTGCCTCGAGCTATCAAAGGCCTTCACAACCCAACACGACTTTGTTTGAAAACATCCAATCGCTTTGAGCAGACTCTACAACAAGCAAATAGCTGGTTGGCCCATTGCCCTTTGTGTGTGGGATCTACAGCCCAACTGGGAAGTGTGCTGGTCGAAATGGACCTAGCCTTATGACCGGCTGCCACTGCCTCAACATAGACTTTGAGCCTGGATATAGATAGAACTGTTTCTGAACACTCTTGATGGAACAGGAGATCTGTGCATGCGCCATTGTGGAAATTACAGAGGTACTCTCAATTGTGAGCCACACATTGAGCTTGCACCTCATCATCCCGCAAGCCTGCGAGAGCAGGGTCAGTAGGGTACCAAGTTTGGAAACTACAGCAGATTGGGCCACATCTGCGCAATCAACAAGATTTACTCTTTCTTTTTAGATTGGGATGAAGATGGAGCCTCCATTCCCGGCACACACCACACCTCCCAGTGACTGGTGCCTGGCTATATCAGCCCATCTCAGTATCATAGACTGTAAAAAAGTATGGGCGTAGTGTCCGTGACGTCACCCGTAGTGTTTCTGAAGAGCCAGAGTCGCCATCTTGGCAGCGTCGCTCCCGGATAAACGAAAATGGGCAGCGAGGCGGATTAGCTGAGGTGACGTGACGCTAACAGACAAACGGCTAGCAGTGACATCAGAGGCAATCCACCTGTCACTCAAGTGTACACGCCCTTAATTATGCAGAACTTTAAGGCTTAATATAATTTAAACAGATGAGTTATGAAAAAAATTCACCCCTCCTCAGTTTTAGTGAAGAGCAAAATTAGCTATATAGACCAAAACTACTTTTGGTACTAGACTGTAAACATCTTTTTTTCTGCTGTAAAGTTGGGCATATTAACATGCGGGTCTATGGGATTGAATCTCTTCTGCAGCCGGCCTCTAGTGGCCAGTGGATGAACTGCAGTTGAAGTCACTTCAGTGTTGGATTCAAGAGAGAAAGGAAGGTTGCCGCTTGGTCAATATGTGAAATCCCTGCGTGAAAAGCCTTGAGACCAAAGAACATAGCCAAAAGTTCCTGGCAATGTATGTGCCATGAGGCTTATGCCTCAATGTCAGTCGCACAGGAGCCCAAGCTTGTCAAAGACGCATCTGTCATGTCAACTGCACAGGAACACTTGGAGCAAGGCGAACTCTTGGTAAAACAGTTTCTTCCCTCAAACTCGAGCCACAGTTACACAGTGCCACATAAATGAGGGACATTGAATTCATGTGGGTCTCGTCGTGTGATACAAGTAACAGGGAGTGGGCCCAGAAAGAGCCACTGAAAAAGACAACGCATCAACCTAAGGTTTGACTGAAACAGTGGCAAAAACGCCCAGACCGTGCTCGCCTGAGAGGCGAAGCTGTCATTGGGAGCAAATTAAGCTCTATCCTAAAGGAAGACTCCTTCTGACTGGTCTCAGCATGGTTTTTGACCAAGGAGCTATGGACAGGTGAATGTGATGAGAAGCAATCTAAATATTGCATGCATCATTCAAGTCTCCTGTCACAAACCAGTCTCTCAATGTGAAACAAAATCTTGAATGGAAACTTTCTGAGTTATGTTATTATTTGGTCATATTTTGCATTATGTCTGATGTGCAGGACTTTGGTCAGCATTCGTGTTGTTGCAAATGTGCTATATAAATAAACCTTGCTCTTACCTCGACCTATTATGACATGCAATCACATACTATCCATGTCTAAAATATTATTACAATAAACAATCAAGCAGTTGAGAAATATTGCATGTATGTATGCAGTAAAGCTGGATATACTTATATATGAAACTTTATATAGAGAGCTGTGCAATAATATAGTTTACATTTTGCAATGATATAAACAATCACGAAGCCAAACTTTGCTATATATTATATATTGTTTTACGTGAGGGTATATATGCAGGTAAAGCAGGTATATATCCAACTTTACATATATCATAGACGACCAAATCCAGATTACAAGTGCTTGAAAACCAGACTACATAGTACACTATAGGTTACTAGCTATATAAAGAACAACGGGTAGCAGAACGCATTGGGTCATTTAGTTTTTTAATTTGAATTGTTAGAGACTACTTTTGACTGGTTTATCTATGACAGGGGTGCCCAATCCTGCTCCTGGCGATCGACTGTCCTGCACAGTTCATCTCCAACCCTAATCAAACACACCTGAAGCAACCAATTAAGGTCTTCAGAGCACGGCAGGATCACTTGAAAATTAAAGGCAGGTGTGTTTGATTAGGGTTGGAGATGAACTGTGCAGGACAGTCGATCGCCAGGAGCAGGATTGGGCACCCCTGATCTATGATGATTGTGTCATCGTAGTTAATATACTATTTGTGTGAGGCCAAATGAATGCAATGGTAACTCGGCCCATTTCTCTATGTCTTCACCAGGTGTGGTCTTTGCATTATCCAGCCTGTTATTACTCCAGACAGCCTCCTCTTGCCCCAAGGAGTGCTTGTGTGACACTCACACCAAAGTGGTGGACTGCCGGGGACGAGGACTTTATGATGTTCCACGTCAACTCAATCAAGACACCCTGGAGCTGTATCTCCAAAACAACCGTCTCCGAGGCCTGGGCTCCATGTCCTTTCGAGAGACGCCACAACTTCAAATTCTGGACCTGGCCAACAATTCAATCACAATGCTTTCCACCAGTGCCCTTCTGGGACTCAGAAGCTTGAAGGTCCTCAGCCTGGCCAATAACTCTATCCGGGAACTGGACCGGCGTCTTCTGGTTTCAGTAAGAAATCTAACCATATTGGACCTGTCCTATAACACCATCAGTGGACTACCTGGAGCTCTTGCTGATAGTTTCCACTATCTTACCCATCTGTCTCTCCATTACAATCGGCTGACTAAGCTGGACCGTATACACCTGGAGGCTCTGGGAAATCTGAAAGTTCTGCAACTGAAGGGCAATCCTTGGAGATGTGACTGTCATATGATAGGACTCAAACTATGGTTGGAGATGTTTGCTTTCAAAGGTAACTAAACCCTCAAATCCACAATAGAGTCTTCATTTCAAAATAACAAAACAAAAACAATCAAACATAGCTAAATGTCCCGTCTTTGAAATTAATTCAGGTAAGAATCTTTCTACATTGTGCTAAAATTTTCACCTAATAGTATTCCACCCTAAATTGTCAACCCACGCTAAAAAGTCAGAATAATTTCTGATTTCCTATCACAGAAAATAAAGCTAATGTTATACTCTTTGTGAGGTTTATCTTGAGCGCCCTGTTTTGCACTCAGCAAGTGCGATTCTTTTTTAGGTAGGTGTGGATGAGTTAATTGCTTGGCGTATCTCACAATGGGATTGGTAGATCATCTGACACACAGTTTAATGCAGCTGCTCCGGACTTGAGCCACACCTGTTAGAGCTTCATGGATTTGCCCTTTAGTCAACAGACCATGGAACAAGTTTTTGCATCAGTCTCTTTTGAACTGCTATTGCTAGGAGCATGGGGTGGCCTGCAGTTTATTTACTCATTTATTTATTTTTGCTGAACATGGTTTGTTTAGGTTAGTCAGTAAGAAAAAGCCTTTATGTATTTTTATTTGCATCAGGTCAGTTGTGAGTTTTGTACTTTTGGCCTTTCGACAGCCTGAAGCTGCTTCACATCAGAGTCCTGATCACCCTGTCCGGGTTTTGCTCTTATTTATTGCGTAAATATTAGGGTCAGAAATTTACTTAATATAAGGCTTAATATTTGCCCCTGGAACTGATTCCAGGGACATTTTTTTTATATATCTTTGTAAGGGCAGTTTTTATAATTACTTTATTAAGAGTATCTTGTCTTTTAAGTTAAATACTTAACCAATTGACCGTATTTACCAACAAAACGTATTTACAAAACTTGGCGAAGGTTTTAGCACTTGCTATGTGAACACAAAAAATATCATTGACATGATTCAAAAAGGTTCAATGGTCCTGAAAAAATAGAGATACTTGTATTCTTCATGGTAAAAAATAATCGCATTGGAAACGAATGGGAATTTCATCTAGTGGAAATGTTTGGTACTGCGCCTAATCAAAATCTTACTGAAAGCTCATTTTTTTATATATCAACCTCAGAGTAAACCTAAAGTAAATTATTTATTCACACAGTATATTTCATGCTGCTCACCGGTGGCGTACATGTATTTACACAGCAATTGCATAATGTTCAATGTAATAGCCAACATAAATGTATAAATTATAAAACTAAACATCTGGGTACGGCAGCAAAATTATGACAATAATCCCTCCATTTGAACCCTTATCTTGAATTTTGGGGGCATTTTTGTTCAATTTGCTTGGCCCAAGCCTCCATTAATATCCAACCCTGGTTCGTACTCCCTCGGCAGGGCACAATACTAATCACGCAAAACGACGCACAAACATTTACATCTTCAGTCATTAAAACAATTGGAAAAAAAATTTATGCAATAAGCAGAGCTCTATACATTTATATAATTACTGGCAATGATTCTACAAATAAACCTTTTCTCTTTAAAACAAGCATCACACATAATCAAATCATGTATGTACTTATTAGCTCACGACTGGACTGGTGGAAATTAATTTTGAACATGAATATATTACAGGGAAAATTCCACTCAAGCCTACACTGTCTTGTCCAGTGTCGATAGCTCACGGCTCGCTCCTCACAGGGATGTTCTGCTTAGCAGCCCTGAGCTTTACACATAGTGAAGATGACCCGCATTCTCCACCATTATCATCTCTTTGTTTTCTTAGGTGGAGTGGTGGACAGCATCACGTGCGTCCAGCCTCAGCTCATGCTGGAGCGAGACCTCCGGCACATTCCCTACGAGCTTTTCCACTCCTGCATGATCACCAGCTACAGCTACCTGTTCGCCAACATCCACTACCTGGACGGCAAGCACCGCACGCTCAGCGGACCGCTTCACCCGAGCCCTCGAGCCCCGTCCGGGAGCGACTTCAGCCCGCCGGGAGAGGGGATTCTGCCCGAGTGTGAGCCCAAGCAAAGACCCCGGCCTGCCAACTACCGGCACGCCATCGCCACCGTGGTCATCACAGGAGTGGTGTGTGGCATCGTGTGCTTGATGATGTTGGCGGCAGCTGTGTACGGGTGTGCGTATGCAGCAATCAACGCCAAGTATCAAAGAGAGCTGAAGCAGAAAGCCAAAGAAGCGGGTGTAGTAGAAGAGCGGAAAAACATTGAAAGAGAGGAGAAGAAGGAACCGCTCGAGTGATGCGAAGATCATGCACACGAAGCACAAATACACATGAAGGATACACTCCACGGTATCCACACTCGGTTGTGTATCTAAGTTCCTTTGAGGCGAGTGCACTCGGCACCGTATTGGCGATGTCCCCGGGCAGCTATTTCTCTAGATATGCAAATACGGCTCCTACCTAAAGGGGCAAGACGGATGATCAAGATGGCATATGCTTCTTCTTTAGCTTCAATCAGGCTAGAAGAACTGTATTTTTCAGGCAAACGCACACATTTCTAGAGTCAAAACAATAGGTGATACTTCTGGCAAAAAGGCAGAAGTCAATCCAAGCGAACATACATTACGAGACTACATGTCATGTTGTTTAAGCTGTGTATTGTTACAGTGTCTGTAGTGTACGTAAATTAACAATGTGTGCTTTTTCTCCATGTTACCTGCACTCAGATATCCCCATTTTTTTCGTCTTTCGACAGCTTCAAGGCAGATTATATTTCCCCCAGTGCATTATGGGTTCTGAAGTTTCCCGACGTTTTTGGTGAAAGGGAACGCCACAGTTTTCTTTAGTCATGTAGAACCAGTTTAAAATACTCATTTCAACTGCATAGCCAACCATGTTTTATAGAAAGCCCATCTTGCCAGCATTCCGCTTTTAATCGTGCAACAATATACCACAATATAGTAGCAACTTCACAGCCCTTCCCAGTTGCCACAACAGATTTCACTGGTTTGAAGGTGAACAAATGCCGTTTCCCGTCACACGGTCTCATTCATATTTTTTTGGGTTCTTTTTCATTTCAGGGGTCGGCAACCTTTTTGTCATGAAAAACATGACACAGACATGTTTTAAAAGTTCATAACGGCTTAATTGAAAGATTAACACACTTTACTATTGAAACCTGATGATCGAACATTACTTGATCAATCACAATCTTGCTTATTTGCGTATTATTAGAAAAAGTAATTTTCCATAATTTTTTTTTTTACATTTGTCAAAACAAAAAAGTTAGTTTGTTTTCAGGTTTAAATTTACTTTGAATAACAGATTTCCAATGTCTGTTTCCCTGAACCGCACTACACATCACCGTCGCTGTGTTTAACAGGACTCTTTACCCAGCATGCAATAGCCGTCATTTCTCCGTCTAGGTTAACTATAAACCCGATATAGTCCGGCTATGAGTAGGTTAACTATAGACCCGATATAGTCCGGCTATGAGTAGGTTAACTATAGACCCGATATAGTCCGGCTATGAGTAGATTAACTATAGACCCGATATAGTCCGGCTATGAGTAACACACTTCTGGCCAAAATAACCTTGAATTTGGTTACATGTCATTATTGCCAAAATAACTTGCAAGATGTATGATATTCCGTCATGTAAGCAAAGTCAACAGTTATTACAAGACGTTTGGTTTCATTTATTTTACATATTATCTAATTGAGGACTAGTCTATTCTTGGGCGATGGTTAACCCTCTGGGGTCCTTCATTTCAGAGTCACACTCAGGACCTTCGGGTCCAAATGGGCCGGAAGGGTGGGATTAATATTTATTTAAAAAAATCATCTTTTTTTTTTTTACTTGTTTTTTATAATATTTTTTCTTTTCTTTTTTGGTGTTTTGAGATAATTTCAAAAATAAAAATGATTTATAATTAATATTAATGCAATAATTATGACCCATTTTCCCCCATTGAATATAATAGTAATTTTAAAAAAAATATGTATTTTTTTTTATTTTTTTTAAAGCTGTATTTCATTTTCGAGTCAAGCCTAGGCCTCATGAAAGCAATTTTTGAAATGAGATGGATGCCATCTGGAGGACAAACTAAGCATTTTAAAAATTCAAACCCCATATGTAATCTGAATTTATTAGTGTGTATGTGTATAAAAGTGTGTTTGTGTGTGTGTGCGTGGATGTGTCTGTTTTGCACTCTTGATGTTTTATAGATTCACCCCTTCACTGTTGTGTGCTTTTTTTCTGGATCGTGGCTGATTTGTAGATTGTACGCACAAAATAACTCTGTATTTTCACATTTTTGCCAATTTTCCATTCATTTCCTATGCGGGTCCATTTGGACCCGAAGGTCCTGAGTGTGACTATTTTTTTTACAACCACTAAGACTATTCAAATCCTGTCCCCGATTTTTTTGGGTGTTCATATGCCAAGTACCAACAAAGTCACCAAATTTCGGACCATTCCGATAAAGCTATGATTTAAAAAAAAAAAAAATGTAAATGCTTCAGGTCCATTTGGGCCGAAGGAACCCAGAGGGTTAAACGTCAATTAAATGTTCACTGACAGCCCAAATGTTGCCTTGTTTTAGCCTAGACGTCAGGCTGTGTTTGGACGCCTTTTAAATGCAAAATTGCTTTCTGGGTTTACTTAGTCGAATATCTTAGTCAAAGCTGTTGCACGTGTACCATAGGTTACTGACCCGTGGACTAGTTGAAACACACAGTTGTGATTAGTAATGTGAAAAGGCCACAAACACACTGGAAGAAAGAAACACTGTCATATTGAGCGGCGTAATGAAGCCCGTTCAGTTCTCTGCCCTCGTCCGGTCTCTGGTCTCTATCGTAATGTTCAAAACGAAGAGTTGCTCCACTGCGCTTTACACTGTAATGAATATTGTCAATTCCTCAGAGCTTTAGTTAGGCCAAAGATTTACGTGAACACTTCTATACATCATACTTCTATACATGCAGTTAAAAGAAGAGTTTAATTTTTTTATTTTAAATATAATATGTCGACTTTGGGTTTTTTAATAGCTGTGATGGCACAGAAATGACTTATTATTTACATACAAACTATACCAGTTTGAAATGTTTCATTTACAGTCTTCTGCATAATTTATTAAATGTATTGCCTTATCAGTTAATAATATGGTCATGTAGGCAGATCCTGATATCAGTGTCTTAATGTGTTATATAAGTATATTGTATAAGCCTCACTGTAAATATTCAGATACAAACCTAAAGAGATTCTGAGCTCTTGGGAAATGCTGGAATATCCAAGATTATATAAACTTGCATATGAATGGATGATCTGTGTTATATAACATCTGCACACATAGCCGAGCAATAATTGGTTAGTTGACGTGATATACGTTGGGAAAGCTGACATGTCCTGCAGTGTGTGATATACATGCTAGTGTGCTCATTCTTTTATATCATCATAAAACAGTTCTTATGATAATACATGTGTTTTAAACGGAGAGTACATTGAATATTCATACTTTAAAAATCATCAGTCACACTGTAGGACCATTTCAAATGAACAAGTGAAGGGAAAGTGGCGCATTTGCACTCCATACCCACAAACCAGCAGAATCTGAATACATATTAATTTAATGTCAAGCAATTGAAATCAGTTTTGATTATAGATGGAAATCCTGTAAAGTGGCCTTTAAGCACATGAAGGACACACACGCATACAAATGTCCCAGTTATACAAGAGCGTTCTGTCATCAGCATGTCAGGCTGCATTAGTGTGTGTGTGTGTGTGTGTGTGTGTGTGTGCTATCATGAGCACGTGAAACTGAGAAACAACATGTGCTTTCAATTATTATTCTGTTCAAATCAAATCAACCAACAGTCACTGAGCCAGAACGTTCGTTTAGTCAAATATCTGTGGTAAATGTGTACGTTTGTGCTCGTGTGGAAACATGTTGTAATATTTCTGTGTTAAATTTATATTTACTAGAGCTTGGTATTGCAGCATAAGCATAAAGTATAAGATACATAGAATTTAAAATCTATACAATAAACAGCATGAAATACTTTATAGAACATGATTTTAGTCATGTGTGTGTGTGTGTGTGTGTGTGTGTGTACGCTCCAGCAAAACACTGAATCATGAGCAGCAGAGGGTGAAAATCTGTCTGTTCCTCTTCATTTCTCTGTCAGTTATAACATGAATCACTTGTGCATGAGCGTGTGTGTGTGTGTGTGTGTGTGTGTGTGTAGTGCTCCTCCAGGCTTATGTTCAAACAGACATCTTTCTCTCTGCGTTATTCTATTTCCCTTTTGTCTAGCGTCTCTCTCTCTGCTCATGTGTTTAACCCTCCGTGAGCGCTTGCAGAGCACAGAAACACAGCGACCGACGAGTAGCGTTCTCTAAGATCAGCCGTGATGTGTATGCGAGGTGTGTGTGTGCTGTACCTGCAGCGAAGGTGTGTGTGTGCTGTACCTGCAGCGAAGGTGTGTGTGTGCTGTACCTGCAGCGATGGCGAGGTGTGTGTGTGCTGTACCTGCAGCGATGGCGAGGTGTGTGTGTGCTGTACCTGCAGCGATGGCGAGGTGTGTGTGTGCTGTACCTGCAGCGATGGCGAGGTGTGTGTGTGCTGTACCTGCAGCGAAGGTGTGTGTGTGCTGTACCTGCAGCGATGGCGAGGTGTGTGTGTGCTGTACCTGCAGCGAAGGTGTGTGTGTGCTGTACCTGCAGCGATGGCGAGGTGTGTGTGTGCTGTGCCTGTAGCGATGGCGAGATGTGTGTGTGCTGTACCTGCAGCGATGGCGAGGTGTGTGTGTGCTGTACCTGCAGCGATGGCGAGGTGTGTGTGTGCTGTACCTGCAGCGAAGGTGTGTGTGTGCTGTACCTGCAGCGATGGCGAGGTGTGTGTGTGCTGTACCTGTAGCGATGGCGAGGTGTGTGTGTGCTGTACCTGCAGCGAAGGTGTGTGTGTGCTGTACCTGCAGCGATGGCGAGGTGTGTGTGTGCTGTACCTGCAGCGATGGCGAGGTGTGTGTGTGCTGTACCTGCAGCGATGGCGAGGTGTGTGTGTGCTGTACCTGCAGCGATGGCGAGGTGTGTGTGTGCTGTACCTGCAGCGAAGGTGTGTGTGTGCTGTACCTGCAGCGATGGCGAGGTGTGTGTGTGCTGTGCCTGTAGCGATGGCGAGATGTGTGTGTGCTGTACCTGCAGCGATGGCGAGGTGTGTGTGTGCTGTACCTGCAGCGATGGCGAGGTGTGTGTGTGCTGTACCTGCAGCGATGGCGAGGTGTGTGTGTGCTGTACCTGCAGCGAAGGTGTGTGTGTGCTGTACCTGTAGCGATGGGGAGGTGTGTGTGTGCTGTACCTGCAGCGAAGGTGTGTGTGTGCTGTACCTGCAGCGAAGGTGTGTGTGTGCTGTACCTGCAGCGATGGCGAGGTGTGTGTGTGCTGTGCCTGTAGCGATGGCGAGATGTGTGTGTGCTGTACCTGCAGCGATGGCGAGGTGTGTGTGTGCTGTACCTGCAGCGAAGGTGTGTGTGTGCTGTACCTGCAGCGATGGTGTGTGTGTGCTGTACCTGCAGCGATGGCGAGGTGTGTGTGTGCTGTACCTGCAGCGATGGCGAGGTGTGTGTGTGCTGTACCTGCAGCGATGGCGAGGTGTGTGTGTGCTGTACCTGCAGCGATGGCGAGGTGTGTGTGTGCTGTACCTGCAGCGATGGCGAGGTGTGTGTGTGCTGTACCTGCAGCGATGGCGAGGTGTGTGTGTGCTGTACCTGCAGCGATGGCGAGGTGTGTGTGTGCTGTACCTGCAGCGATGGCGAGGTGTGTGTGTGCTGTACCTGCAGCGATGGCGAGGTGTGTGTGTGCTGTACCTGCAGCGATGGCGAGGTGTGTGTGTGCTGTACCTGCAGCGATGGCGAGGTGTGTGTGTGCTGTACCTGCAGCGATGGCGAGGTGTGTGTGTGCTGTACCTGCAGCGATGGCGAGGTGTGTGTGTGCTGTACCTGCAGCGATGGCGAGGTGTGTGTGTGCTGTACCTGCAGCGATGGCGAGGTGTGTGTGTGCTGTACCTGCAGCGATGGCGAGGTGTGTGTGTGCTGTACCTGCAGCGATGGCGAGGTGTGTGTGTGCTGTACCTGCAGCGATGGCGAGGTGTGTGTGTGCTGTACCTGCAGCGATGGGCGACTCTCTCTCGTCCAGCAGAGGAATGGTGCCGCTGGCGTACACCACACTCTTGTTCTCAGACGCTGAAACACACACACACACACACACACACACACACACACACACACACACACACACACACACACATCAGTGCAGAACAGAGAGCGGTGACCCTTTCTGCTCTAATGGGCCACTGCGTTATTATGTGTGCTGTTTATCTGAAGATTTCATATCATTTTCTGCTACAAATTAAAGTAGTTTCTAGACGTACATCATCATTAAACTGTTAGTTAACCATTAAAGTGCTGTCGTCACCCCGGCACTGCCGGGTTAGGAGTAACATTGTTAGTTTTTGTTCATCCAATTATTTTGTCAAATTATTAAAATAAGAATAATTAAACATAACTTTAACCTCAATCAACTACACTTTGATAAACTGTATTATAAAAGAGCCAACAAGTTGGAACTTTTAAACAAATGTTTTTTTTTAATTAACATTTTTACTTTCACAGATTTATAGTGCCTAATGTCCGTTTATAAATGTTTCTTCTTTGTAGAAGTGAATGGGAAAGTTAGATTACATCCCTCCCCATTTTCTCCTCGTCTCTGTTCTCCCGGTTTGTGTCAATAAAACTGAAGAGATTTTAAGTGTTTTACACAAAGCTGTGGAGAATCCCTCTATCCCTCTATCCCTGTACTGTACTGTAGTCTCATCTCATGATCAATGTCAGATCATTGCAGTGCGGAAGTTTTATTAGGTTTTCGAATCATCCCGCATTAAAAACAAACATTTTAATGCAAGTGAAACTCATAGCACAGTGTATTCTGGGAACCTAAGAACAGTGCTATGGACAATTCATGTGTACAAACATTACAGACTATTGCAAAAAAAATCGAAGTGAAATGCAAAAATAAATTAGAAGTGTGTATTGCTGTGTTAGAGGTTGTGCATTATAACCAATCACACACACATTTCTGTTGAGCTTATGAATGCATTGGCCAATCAGAGGCGTTTAGTCATCAGTGATAAAGAAATCCACTAAAAATGCTGGAGTTTTGTTCAGTGAATAAAGAGATTAGTAGCTAGACATACGCCGTGCACTGCTTCAGTGATGAAGGGAACGCTGTTTGTCACTTTCTGTATATCATTTATTCCCGGCCTGAATAGCGATCTGATTTTCTAATGCGTAAAAAGCAATAAACAAATCCAATAATTGTTCTTAGTTTGTTTTGTCTGTGCAGAATGTGTCGTGATGTTTCCCCAAACACAATTTATGTATTCAATGAATCAACTTTAATTATCATTATTATAATATCAAGAGCAACAATCATCAATGTTATTTTTGTCATAATATTGCATATGGGCTGTATTTTTTATTTAAAGTTATTTCATGCAATTGTCGTGTAAATAAATGTATGGTACTTTGAGAAGCATTAATCAGTCTGTGTGAATAAACTTTGCCCTTGTTTCACCTTTGCCGTGTAAAGATGGCTTTTGTTGATGTGATTTTATTGGTATAGTCCATAGTATTAGATCGATTGAAGTAATTGGTTACATTTAAGTATTTGACATTAAAGACAACACACACCTAAATGTTGCCTTTACTAAGGAGAACTTGTATGGCGTGTGTGCAGGCAGACCGACGGAAACAGAAGAATTAAGTTACAACACAAAAGTTTACTAGTAACGATCCAAACAGGCCAAAGTGTTCACACACACATATGCTGTTCATACACACATATGCTGTTCACACACACATATGCTGTTCATACACACATTACATATGCTGTTCACACACACACATGCATCAACCAGGCGGGACACACTCAAAGGGAACACACAGGAACTTGTATACTAAGGATAACGAGGTGAACACAGCTGAACCAAACTAACTATTAACAGTAACCATAGAAACTGAAAAATGGCGGGAATCTAAACAAAGGAACACATATGGCAAGTGAAAACAAACTAGAAGTCCATGGTAAAAAATTAAATTAACTGAACATAACAGTGACAGAAATCAATTCCAAGGGGCAAATATGAACTTCTGACCCGAATGCAGACACAGATCATTACTGAGACTCAAAACACAATGCTGACACATTACAGTCATTTCCTGCTCATATTCACTGTATCCAACTTTTTTTTATGCCCCATGATGCTTTGCGTGAATTATGGGGTTACTTCCATTAAACTGTTAAAGGTTTTATCTATATAATAATAAGTATTCGCAAAAACAGGGTATAGTGCGGTGACAATTTTCTCTTTACCCTTCAACCATCGAACATCGAAAGGAGACATCTATGTTATTAATGCAGCTCAGTTCCCTGAGAAGGGGTACGGCATCCACGGCGTCTGAAGCGTGTGTAACAAACATGACGATTCATTGTCTGACAACAGTCCCTGTGTCACAGGCAGAGCACACGAGTGTAAAGGCACGTCATCAGCTCTTCTGTCTGATGGAGATGTGCTGGCAAGCCCTAGGCATCGCAATTTTCAGGGAACCGTGTTACATACGTAACCTACACGTTCCCTTTCGAAGTGGAACTGCAATGCGGCATCTGATATCGTCGCTATACCCAATACGCCATGCGGAGGGAATGACGGCCTCACTTAAGCTGTGAATATGCACAAACATTATGGCTTAGCATATCGACTCTACAGATTTCTTCAGTCAGAGCATCAACCCTCATCGACTCGTATAGATTGTATAGTGGCGCCACTTCCTAAGCTCATATCTTCCAATAGTAGGAGAAGATACCCGAAACTATGCTCTATAGCAAGGGAAGACTTGGCCTTTACAACCTTCCTCTCTGTTTGCAGGACGGGCATCAGCCGTATAAGGCCCGAGAGCTCGAAGAAAATGGCTCAGATATGTCAGCTTCTTCTACATTGGCAAAGCCCTTAGGAGTAGCCGACCAAAGGGAGAGTTTCAACTCAGACCTTAGATATTACCACTACTTCCAGGAGGAGAACGCAACCCTCAACTTCATCAGAAGTAGGGTTGGGCACCGAAACCCAGTACCGATATGGAACCGATACCCAAGTAACCGATATGGAACCGATACCCAAGTAACCGATATGGAACCGATACCCAAGTAACCGATATGGAACCGATACCCAAGTAACCGATATGGAACCGGTACCCAAGTAACCGATATGGAACCGGTAACCAAGTTACCGATATGGAACCGGTACCCAAGTAACCGATATGGAACCGATACCCAAGTAACCGATATGGAACCGGTACCCAAGTAACCGATATGGAACCGGTACCCAAGTAACCGATATGGAACCGGTACCCAAGTAACCGATATGGAACCGATACACAAGTAACCGATATGGAACCGATACACAAGTAACCGATATGGAACCGGTACCCAAGTAACCGATATGGAACCGGTACCCAAGTAACCGATATGGAACCAGTACCCAAGTAACCGATATGGAAACCGATACCCAAGTAACCGATATGGAACCAGTACCCAAGTAACCGATATGGAACCAGTACCCAAGTAACCGATATGGAACCGATACCCAAGTAACCGATATGGAAACCGATACCCAAGTAACCGATATGGAACCGATACCCAAGTAACCGATATGGAACCGATACCCAAGTAACCGATATGGAAACCGATACCCAAGTAACCGATATGGAACCAGTACCCAAGTAACCGATATGGAACCAGTACCCAAGTAACCGATATGGAAACCGATACCCAAGTAACCGATATGGAACCGATACCCAAGTAACCGATATGGAACCGATACCCAAGTAACCGATATGGAACCGGACCGAATCAGAACGCAGATTTCGGTGCCCCTTAAACACCTCAGCTGTCGGTTGAAGTATTTGCTCCGAAATGGACGCAAGCATCATCACCCCATGTGATCGCTAGTTAACCCTTTGACGCGTACGATTGTTCACACCGGTGTGATTAGACCGCTCAGTTCACGTGATCATCAACTTCTAAATTCAAATCTGCGTTCACGCGCTGGCTGGCGCTGAGCCAGAGACAGACGCTCAGCGCTCTCATATATCACAACTATTCAGTGTTTATTTTAGGTTTGAGACATTTAAATACACAAGTATTAGCAAAAAAACATGTATAGTTGTAAAATACACACTGATGTCTATGGAAGCGGCAATAGCAATCTGAATCTGAGCAGCGGTGCGTACTAACATATCGCCTATTGTGCGTTATAGGCTAGATCAAGTAACACGAATCATGATAATTATAAAGACCGGCATACATCTAATAAATTATTCATTCAAGAACGTTGTACAAGTTTAATACAACAATGGTGCCGTGAACTTCACATATTTTTGAAAATCCAGCCTTCGGTTGATCCTGATGAGCTCATTCCCACAGTTGTAAACATGACGGCGTTCTTCTTCCACGAGGGGTTTCGCGTCATGGCATTTAAGGTGATGCTTTCTAAAATAACACTCACCTTGTGCAGGACATGCAATAAGTCAGGAGAGGTTCACCTAAACTCTGGAACCCTACCACTCACCCTACTCAACCCTTATGGGTGTCCTTAAGAGCATCCAAGGTGCAAAACACCTCAGTAATTACCCCTCTAGGCTAAAACCCCTGATGTTGCCGCTCCTCCAAGCGGGAGTCTACATCTTTGCTCTTGCTCATGAAAATAAGGCAAACAAGAGCAGGACATATATGCAGTTTGTCCAGAAACTCTCGTCACCCAGGCTCTAAAAACCCCAAAGGAACCGCAGGGGAGGTTAGGCTCTACTTAAAGACCCCAATGCAACTGGGGGAGAGCAGCTCAATCCTACCTTGAGTAAAGGCATTCTACCTAAGCCCTGCTATAGCCAGAGCTTCGTCTTTGCTTTTTGCCCCAGACCATAGTATGTGACAGATAACAAGGAGGGATGCCGGCAGGCTTTCTTGCTAGCATTGTCCAACCAGGGACATAGTAGTGAGCTCTTCCAAAGGAGAGCTATATCCCAACTTCAAGACCCAACAACAGTTGGGGGAGGGAGGCAAACAAGAGGGAATCTATACGTCCTTCCATAACTTCATTCTCCTTGCATCAACCCTTAGGGCCATCCAAAATGGAGATATGTCCCAGACATGAGAAAAGCAGACTGCTTTTTGCCACTAGCTCCAAGGAAGCCAGAGGGAAGCCTAGGGTATACTTAACGATCCTAATGTAACTGGGGGAGAGCAGCTCATACCCGGCCTCGGGTCAAGCCAGTCTACCTAAGACCCGCCATAGCTAGTGGTTCATCTTATTCTTTTAGCACTAGACCATAGTATGCGACAGATAACATGGAGGGACCCTCCGCAGGCAAACTTTCTCTACTTGTTAGCATTGTCGAACCAGGGCTATAGTAGAGCACCCATCCAAAGTGGAGCACACATCCCTACTTCAAAACCCAACAGTAGTTGAGGAGGGAGGTAAACAAAGTATAGGGTATCGAGAGAGAATCAAGCAATAACAGAACCTTCTACCTACCTCGAATACATCGCCATGGGTGCCTCCTGTTCCCTCAAGAGCCGAACGTGCTGCATGCAAACACTATCTTATAACAAGCTTAACAGAGCTTACTGCTAATGCAACACAATAAGCGCACCCAGCTTTTATCTTACACATGCATACAAACAAGTGGATCCTGAAGACAAAAAAGCTGATGACGTGTATTACAGGCATTTTATACTCACGGCGATCTGCTGGTGATGTCATGGACTGTTGTCAGCCAATGAATAAGCGTGTTTGTTACACATGCTTCAAACAGCGGTCACACTGATGGCAATTTCAGACGCAGCATTGAAGTTCCAATTCCAAAGGGAATTTACTCGCTATATTACTGATGTGTCAAATATTGCTGTAGTAATATCTATATTATTTACCATACTTTTATGTTGCATGAATTGAAAATGTTCCATCATTACCTGGAAAATTGATTGTCCTTTTGACAGAAAACAAATATATATTTCCCTGCATTAGAAGCATTTCAGTAAACACTACTGATATGGATTAAAATTGAAAAAGGTGAGAAAATTATGTTTTAAAGCACCCGTGTGAAAACAATGGAAAAGAGCCATGAATGAGGATTTGGAAAGAAAACGAGAGATTCACTCCAATGTATTCCAGTCAGTTATTTATGGGATGTGTCATAAAATAAGGAGAGTAGACCACAAGAGTGGAGAATATGTGTCTTTCTATATCGGTAAAGTTATAAAAACACAACACAGCAGACTGATAAGAGCTTATCACAGATATTCTTGAGATACCAATGTCACTTTAAAATACCAAGCATTAGATTATTCGGTAACACTTTACTTGAAGGGGTGTGCATAAGACTGACATGACACCTTCATAATCATGACAGGACACACCTCATGAATATGAAGGAGGGTTTATGCATGTTTATGACAACTGTCATTCGCTCAATTATGACATTTTTGATGCAAATATGACATTGTTTGAAATGTCTTTGTTATGACACCTTGACATAAACCATGAACAAATGAACAGCTCATTCAGTCAGATGACAAACAAGGATTATTTGTAGCGCCAATCTTATTATTATTTTTGGAGTCCTTTTGAGTGAAAATCAGAACTTTTTCAGAAAAAGGTGGATCAAGTTCCCATTTAATTTTAATAAACTGCAGAACTACCACTAAAAATTACAGTAAAACTAGTAACTGATTTCCATTAATATATACTGTAAACTCACATTACATTATTTACAGTGTGTAGTTAAGATGAATAGAAAAAGAATCCATTATTTCTTGCAGACAAAATCTTTTCAATGAATACAATTTCACACTTCACTACTCCACTAATCACGCAGCGCAATATGCTTGGCATGAGGGAGAAGAGATGGAGGGCTATCTGAAAAGGTCTGTCCACACAATTATATATTTTTTCAGAGATGCAGCCATTTAGGCTAGACATGTGGTAAGCGGTTATTCTGAAAAACAGCACATTTCAATAACTTTGATCTAGAAATGTGATTCTGACTGGAAATGCTGCAATAAAGTAACTTTAGTAAATAAATGCAAAGGTCCAGACTGATTGGATTGCCGCTTTATTTAAGCGGCCTGTTTTGTGTGTATAATCACCTTGGTTGAATGACAGGGAGTAGATAAAGGTGCCAGGCACCTGTTCAGCAGCCCGCTTGTACCACAGAGGAAAGTGATCAGCACTGAACACCAACTCCTTATCCTCGGCTGTGAGGAAGTCTCTTACAACACACAACACACACATTACCTCATTATTACAGGCTGTTATAAGAGGGATGCTAAACTAATACTTGTCACAGGTTGTGAGGGAGAGACTAAACACACGAATAACACGAAGATCATGAAGATGATGAAGAAGGTTAACAGGCTTTAAAGGGATACTCCACTTTTTTTGGAAATAGGCTCATTTTACAACTCCCCCAGAGTTAAACTGTTGAGTTTTACCATTTTTGAATCCATTCAGCCGATCTCTGGTTCTGGCGGTACCACTTTTAGCTTAGCTTAGCATACATCATTGAAGTGGACAAGACCATTAGCATTTCTCAAAAAAAAATGACCAAAGATTTTCGATATTTTTCCTATTTAAAACTTGACTCTTCTGTAGTTACATTGCGCACTAAGACCGACGGAAAATGTAAAGTTGCGATTTTCTAGGCTGATATGGCTAGGAACTATACTCTCATTCCTGCGTAATAATCAAGAAACTTCACTGCCGTACCATGAGGGCAGCAGGCGTAATGATATGACGCAGCGCCTGAAAATAGTTCCGTTGTGTTGACGGAAGGTGGCCTATTTTCAGGCGCTGCGTCATATCATTACGCCTGCTGCTCTCATGGTACGGCAGTAAAGTTTCTTGATTATTACGCAGGAATGAGAAAAATATCGAAACTCTTTGGTCTTTTTTTTTTTGAGAAATGCTAATGGTCTTGTCCACTTCAATGATGTATGCTAAGCTAAGCTAAAAGTGGTACCGCCAGAACCGGAGATCGGCTGAATGGATTCAAAAACGGTAAAACTCAACAGTTTAACTCTGGGGGAGTTGTAAAATGAGCCTATTTCCAAAAAAAGTGGAGTATCCCTTTAATTTCCAACAGGGTAGTTCCAACGAGGTACATCCAACACAACTACACATACACGAGACCCGGCAAAGACACAAACTGAACTGAACTAAAATAGGGGGGAGATAACGACACACACACACCTGATCACAGTGACGAAATCAAACGAATTACCATGACGACAAACAAATCAACGAAATCAAACAGAGTCTAGTGGTGTGACATGAATAGTGAGCGGGGAAGACTAGACTTATTCTGGGTAGCATGGTCTCGCAACACAAATTACTCAAAAACAGCAGTGTGTTGCCAGTGTTGGGGAAGCTGCTATGGCCAGTAGTTTGCCAAGCTACAAAGTTACGAATAATAAATAATTTAAAAAGTTTGTAGAGATGTTACTTTTTAGAAGTTACTAGAAGTCGCATCAATGCTTTATTACTTTCTGACTATGAGAACTCGTCACTGGAGTGAGGAACATTGAAGCCTGTATAACACAATGCTAATCCAAGCAATTTTGCAGTCCATCCAGTCAGTCCATTTTGGCCTTGAGGGACTTGATCACTCAGACCACTCAAAAACAGTTTTAGCCCTGACCCAGAGAATGACCCAGAGATTGTAACTAGAATCTATTAGCTGGTACCCCTCACAGGCCAGACCCAAAGTTTCCAAATCTCTGGCCGGGAGTGAAAAAAAAAAAAAAAAGAAGTTTCAAGTACACTTGAAAAAGAAGTTTTCTCTGAACGGGAAGCTTTAAAGAAGTGTTGTCTAACCCTAACCCTAACAGGACATACAATTTGACAAACAATCACACTAAAACAGGTATGCGGCTTCAAGAAACGGGGGATTCCATGATGTAGGGCTGTCACCTGACCTCCGTCAGCCAATAGAATCGCCATGTTTTCACATGTGCTTCCGACACCGGTCACACTGGAGGCATTCCTATAGCGTCAACACCATGACACAGCGTCGAAAGGAACTTAACTTAAGCTGCACTGTTTTGAAAGCAGCAGAGCCATTGACACACTACTGTAAAACATGTAGTTCAGTTAGCAGCATTGCTACTTTTCATTAGTTACTCCACCAACACTGGCATTTACGGTCTCTTTCAAAACATGTATTACACCTTAGTTACTATTGATCAGTGTAGAATTTACTATGTAATATAGACTCATGGGAAGTGTGATGTACTTACTGATTGGTCAGTTGGTCTGGCATCACGAAAAGGTTTATGCGTGATAGTCCGGTTCGAGTGCCGAGGTAAGCTATCTCCACCCCTTTATCAGAGTTCCTACCAGAACAACGAGAACCACGGGAAACACATAATGAATAATGACCTTAATAAGGAACAATTTCAAAAATGAAGATTCGGTAACACTTTGGGCAAAAACATTATAAATAATGCATTATAAACATATTTTAATGCAATATGTATGCTTTGTAATGCACCTTATAGTATAATACATTATAATACTTATCTATTCATTGATAACACACCTTTAGAAAGTATAATGCATGACAAACAACCAATTTCAGATGTAACAAGGAATCTGCCAATATTATAATTTATTTAAACTTTTGGTTACAATTATTTATGAAATTATATAATGCATTAATGTACATTATGAATACCTTTATAATGCATTATACAAAAATTCTAGTTAAAGTCAACATGAAATGGCATTCACAACCCAGTTGACCTCTCTGTATATGACAAATGAGGATGTGACTGGATGATAAAAATAAGGCATTCCACACTTTATTGGCAAAATGTGGTAAAAGGCTACAAAAGCGGCAGTGAGTAAAGAACTGTTTGGCACTTGGTTAATACTCATTTGTTTATTAACATCATTTGAAAAGGAAAATTGTTTCAGAGGCTATAAAATGTATTGCATCGTAATGAAAGATTAAAAAGATATTTTTGTACATTAAGTCCAAAAATGCATGTGTATTAAGAAAGTTTGAGCTGTTCTTACTCTGATTTATTAAGAGCGAGGCTGGTCCAGTACGCTTCCAGTGGGGCCGTGACCACGGCATCAAACAGAACCTCCTGGACCAGATCCATATCACCTAACAAAACAATCATAGGATACTAATCACAATTCTAAATAGAACTTGGAATTTGATCATTTTTAAGATATTGTATTTTGTACTGTCATTCATTAGTACAAAGATTAGTTCAAAGAAGTATACATACACATTGAACAACACAAAAACAAAGGGGAGTCATCAAAACAAATGTTAGTGTGCTTTTGCACTCAGCTCACACTTCAGATGTGGTTCTCCATTAAAATAAAGCTTTATGGCATCGATCTGAGATAGGAAAGGATGTTCTGGATGTTCCTCTGTGTTACAGTATGTCCTGAAAAGTCAAACCAATCAGTTGCACGCATGCAAACATCATTCATACTGTAGACACTTCAATAAGGCACTGAATAAAACCTCAAAAGATACTACTTTACCATTCATCTGCTAATACAACATCGGGATGCTCCAAATCATGCAGTCCTGAAACAGAAGGAACACCCATCATGCTTAATAGTGCTTCAGATTCATATGCCATGATTGAGCCAAACAGGACATTATCCTTGATCAGCAACACTGATTCCCATCAGACAATCATATCTAAACCTAGTCCTGGAATGATTGTCATATAAGAATGTTGTTCAAACCCCGGCCGCAGCCTTAAGCCTGGGGAATAGTGGCATGAGGTGGTCTTCTGAAATGAGCGGTCTCTCTGTATCTGATTTTTAGTGCCTTAAAAGTTTATGTTGAAATACTAATGAGGGGAGAAGGACTTTGACAAGTAATCAGCAATCAAATCATAAACTATGAAATGCACGCTGATGAACAGCTGCAATATTTATGATTGATCATGTTTGATGGGTAACAATCGCATCATTTAATGCTAGTCACAATGAATTGTGCTGTTCATCATTAAAAAAGGAAACAATTTTGTTGTCAGATTCACTTGACAATGTTTATGGCTGGTAAATGGTCAGTCACGCACCATTCGTAGGAGTGAGAAGTCATTTGGAAATCTAAAACTTGCACTTGGAATTCAGTTTTCAAAAGTTTGTCTTTCAGGCCCCAAAATGCCGTTGTCATGTAAATGATCAGCCGAAACACATACAAAGTTTTACGTTTTTAGTTGACAGCGGTGATACTAGATAAGCTCCTGGCTTTACTGGCGCAGATACACATTAGCCACGCAACAAGCTACACTAGCATTACACCTTTCGGCCATGCTGGCCTAGCCAAGCAGAGCCAATTAACATGCGTTTCACATAGATCTATGGAACAGCAGCAAAATACACTCATCGGCCACTTTATAGATCAACAAGGTGCTGGAAACGATCCACGTTTTTAAAATGAGTTATATATGTGTGTGTGAGAGAGTGTATTTTTCTGTTCTCAACTTTAAAATGTGCAGTCTCATCTTTGAACCGTGCATTACCTAACACATTTCTTACCTATGAAACTTATTTAAACATAACATGACAAAAATGTATGTAATGTATGTAAAATGTATCACAAACAAAACAACTTGAATTGCTCTGTTTGTAAGTTAACTCAAACTCATTTTAAAGCCATCTAGCTTTAAAATGAATCCAGAGCATTCGCATTTATGACCATAAATGATCAAATGACTTCCTTGAAGTGACCATCGCATGTACCCTTCGAAACGGCCCTTCGTGAAGAGATCCAGCTGTTCACTTTCATTTGGAAAACACCTACAAATGGCGTCCCCTTTCCAAAGGGCCTTTCAAAGGCCAAAGTGCCGTTGGGAATTCGCCCCATGTCTACATGCCTAAATGCATTGAGTTTCTGCCATGTGATTGGCTGATAAGATATTTGTGTTACGAGCAGTTAAACAGATGTACCTAATAAAGTGGCTGGTAAGTGTATATACACAAGAGATAACAGCTTAAGCTTGCACACTCACATATGCTGACAAAACCTGGAAAGACACACATTTATTATAATGAATCAAAGGCAATGTAGAGGACAGAGACTCTTTAAACCTATAGTTACCTTCTTCAACAGAGATATTTCCTCTGAAGGAATATTTGCCATGACCTCTGGACAGGGCCACTCCTAAGCTGAAAACAAGAGAAATAAATCATACACTCCAAAACATTTTTTTGAATTTTTTACTTGATTGCCATCTGTACTCAATTTTATTTTGTCAAATGGAATTAAAATGTTAAGTTAATAATCCATTAATGTTGGGACTACATTCATCCTTTTTGGGACTACATTAATCCTTTTTGTTGCATTGACTGAAACAAAGCAGTGGGTTCCTAGTTCCCAACAAGCTTTGCACAGAGCTGGATCAGGAGAATAAATGTTTAAATAAAGTGCTATTTAAGTTTTTAATTTATTTGGTGGTTCTGAAACGCCTGAGCCAAAGTCTGTGATCAGAATGATTTGGTTTAATTCCATCCCAGAAGCGTCTCACACAATTGCGTTCCCAAACATTTTCATTTTTATTACTGATACTTTGCACCAATTTCTCAGGAAGTGACGATTTTGTTCTCTTGAACACATGAGATCGAAACACTGCTTTATTCATAAGTGTTTTATGCCATATTCCAATTTTGCGCAAAAGTTAAATTCACAACTTTGAATAGAAACAGCTATTGAGCCATAACTGCCAATGCCAGTGACAAGCAGTTTCTTTTTTTTGTATGAAATATTTCACAGTACGGTTTTTGTCAGCTAACTCTTCCTTGAGTCCTTAACTTCACTAATCTGATTTGTGAAGGGTTTCACAGTGCTGTTTTTGTCAGTTGTTCTGACATGTGAAAGGTTTCATAAATCAGAATAGTGAAGTTAAGAACTGAAGGCTGATGAGATCCCAGAGCGACCCCCGGTGGCAGTGATGGAGGAGGAGCCGAGGGGGTCCTTTGACCCAACCGACAGCAATGAGGCCTGGAGATGTAGAGGCCCAGGCGGAGTCCATGGGACTGAGAGACCCGGTGACACTGAAGGACTGGGAGAGCAAGGCGGAGTCCATGGGACTGAGAGACCCAGTGACGCTGAAGGCCTGGGAGAGCAAGCCGGAGTCCATGGGACTGAGACCCGGTGACGCTGAAGGACTTGGAGAGCAAGGCGGAGTCCAAGGGACTGAGAGACCCGGTGATGCTGAAGGACTGGGAGAGCAAGGTGGAGTCCATGGGACTGAGAGACCCGGTGACGCTGAAGGACTTGGAGAGCAAGGCGGAGTCCATGGGACTGAGAGACCCGGTGACGCTGAAGGACTGGGAGAGCAAGGTGGAGTCCATGGGACTGAGAGACCCGGTGATGCTGAAGGACTGGGAAAGCAAGGCGGAGTCCATGGGACTGAGAGACCCGGTCACGCTGAAGGACTGGGAGAGCAAGGCGGAGTCCATGGGACTGAGAGACCCGGTCACGCTGAAGGACTGGGAGAGCAAGGCAGAGTCCATGGGACTGAGAGACCCGGTCACGCTGAAGGACTGGGAGAGCAAGGTAGACTCCATGGGACTGAGAGACCCGGTGACGCTGAAGGACTGGGAGAGCAAGGCGGAGTCCATGGGACTGAGAGACCCGGTGACACTGAAGGACTGGGAGAGCAAGGCGGCGTCCATGGGACTGAGAGACCCGGTGACGCTGAAGGACTGGGAGAGCAAGGCGGAGTCCATGGGACTGAGAGACCCGGTGACGCTGAAGGACTGGGAGAGCAAGGCGGAGTCCATGGGACTGAGAGACCCGGTGACGCTGAAGGACTGGGAGAGCAAGGCAGAGTCCATGGGACTGAGAGACCCGGTGACGCTAAAGGACTGGGAGAGCAAGGCAGAGTCCATGGGACTGAAAGACCCGGTGACGCTGAAGGACTGGGAGAGCAAGGCAGAGTCCATGGGACTGAGAGACCCGGTGACGCTGAAGGACTGGGAGAGCAAGGCAGAGTCCATGGGACTGAGAGACCCGGTGACGCTGAAGGACTGGGAGAGCAAGGCAGAGTCCATGGGACTGAGAGACCCGGTGACGCCGAAGGACTGGGAGAGCAAGGCAGAGTCCTGGCGATGAGTGGCCGAGGTGACGCTGAAGGACTGGGAGAGCAAGGCAGAGTCCATGTGACTGAGAGACCCGGTCACGCTGAAGGACTGGGAGAGCAAGGCGGAGTCCTGGCGAAGAGTGGCCGAGGTGACGCTGAAGGACTGGGAGAGCAAGGCGGGGTCCTGGCGACGAGTGGCCGAGGTGACGCTGAAGGACTGGGAGAGCAAGGCAGAGTCCATGGGACTGAAAGACCCGGTGACGCTGAAGGACTGCGAGAGCAAGGCAGAGTCCATGGGACTGAGAGACCCGGTGACGCTGAAGGACTGGGAGAGCAAGGCGGAGTCCATGGGACTGAGAGACCCGGTGACGCTGAAGGACTGGGAGAGCAAGCCGGAGTCCATGGGACTGAGAGACCCGGTCACGCTGAAGGACTGGGAGAGCAAAGCGGAGTCCATGGGACTGAGAGACCCGGTGATGCTGAAGGAGAGCAAGGCAGAGTCCTGGCGACGAGTGGCCGAGGTGATGCTGAAGGACTGGGAGAGCAAGGCGAAGTCCTGGCGACGAGTGGCCGAGGTGACGCTGAAGGACTGGGAGAGCAAGGCGGAGTCCTGGCGACGAGTGGCCGAGGTGACGCCGGTGAGTGAGGAGTACAGTGGAGCCAGAGGGATGAAGGAGCCTGACGAAGCCGTAGCGGTGGAGGGATGGAGTCAAGTCAAGTCACCTTTATTTATATAGCGCTTTTTACAATACAAATAGTTTCAAATAGCTTTACAGAGATAACAGGAAAATAATGCAACAAAGTTTGTTTCCAGAAGAAAATAGCGTCACAGTCCAGCTTAAGTAAGTTCAGTGATGGTTCATTTTTGTTGTAAAAAAGTTATTAATTTATATACACTCACCTAAAGGATTATTAGGAACACCATACTAATACTGTGTTTTACCCCCTTTCGCTGTCAGAACTGCCTTAATTCTACGTGGCATTGATTTAACAAGGTGCTGAAAGCATTCTTTAAAATGTTGGCCCATATTGATAGGATAGCATCTTGCAGTTGATGGAGATTTGTGGGATGCACATCCAGGGCACAAAGCTCCCGTTCCACCACATCTCAAAGATGCTCTATTGGGTTGAGATCTGGTGACTGTGGGGGCCATTTTAGTACAGTGAACTCATTGTCATGTTCAAGAAACCAATTTGAAATGATTCGAGCTTTGTGACATGGTGCATTATCCTGCTGGAAGTAGCCATCAGAGGATGGGTACATGGTGGCCATAAAGGGATGGACAAAGTCAGAAACAATGCTCAGGTAGGCCGTGGCATTTAAACGATGCCCAATTGGCACTAAGGGGCCTACAGTGTGCCAAGAAAACATCCCCCACACCATTACACCACCACCCCCAGCCTGCACAGTGGTAATAAGGCATGATGGATCCATGTTCTCATTCTGTTTACGCCAAATACTGACTCTACCATCTGAATGTCTCAACAGAAATCGAGACTCATCAGACCAGGCAACATTTTTCCAGTCTTCAACTGTCCAATTTTGGTGAGCTCTTGCAAATTGTAGCCTCTTTTTCCTATTTGTAGTGGAGATGAGTGGTACCCGGTGGGGTCTTCTGCTGTTGTAGCCCATCCGCCTCAAGGTTGTGCGTGTTGTGGCTTCACAAATGCTTTGCTGCATACCTCGGTTGTAACGAGTGGTTATTTCAGTCAAAGTTGCTCTTCTATCAGCTTGAATCAGTCGGCCCATTCTCCTCTGACCTCTAGCATCAACAAGGCATTTTCGCCCACAGGACTGCCGCATAGTGGATGTTTTTCCCTTTTCACACCATTCTTTGTAAACCCTAGAAATGGTTTGCGTGAAAATCCCAGTAACTGAGCAGATTGTGAAATACTCAGACCGGCCCGTCTGGCACCAACAACCATGCCATGCTCAAAATTGCTTAAATCACCTTTCTTTCCCATTCTGACATTCAGTTTGGAGTTCAGGAGATTGTCTTGACCAGGACCACACCCCTAAATGGATTGAAGCAACTGCCATGTGATTGGTTGATTAGATAATAGCATTAATGAGAAATTGAACAGGTGTTCCTAATAATCCTTTAGGTGAGTGTATATAGCCGCTCTGGAGTAAACCGTGACAAATGGAGCACAGCCCCGAAGTCTGTGGCTATGGTGGGGCAACGACTGACCAAGGCGGAGCCGGAAGGATGGAGGTCCCGCGGGGAGGTGAGGAGACGAGGATCCAGGGCGGAGCCGATTGGTTGACGGGCTGAGGTGGAACTGAGGGCTCAGAGGGACGAGGTAGAGCCTGGAACCAGGGCTGGGGCCCGAAAGCCCCAAGGCGGACCAGGGGTGAAGGGAGCCAGCGGAGAGAATGGCTGGCTTCAGTGGAACTTGAACATGGAATGGACAGGGATGGTGGTGACGAAGAACACTCTGTGATGACTGAGACTGGTGGCGATTAAGACCTTGGGCTGGACTGGACCAGTGGCGATAAAGAGACATTAGTGCAGGAGGGGACTGGTGACAGAGAAGGTTTGTGGGTGGGAAGCACTAATTCCGTCTCCCAGTCAATCAGCCCTTCTTCCTCATCCGGCACCATCAATCTTTCCACTGGCACGGATGCTGTGGCAGGCTCAAACACCTTCAGCTGGGAACTCAGGCTTTGCATCCGGGATGGACTTGGCAGAAAGCACTGACACCGTTTCGGGTTTGGGTTCAGGCTTAATATAATTAAGTTTATTAGCTCATGTGGATTTTTTTTTTCTACGAGAAACTGTTTTCTTCTTCATTTAATGAAGATCAGAGAGAAATATCCCGGACAGTGCACAATGATCTGATAATGAATTGTAGCACTAATTTTGGACCCTGGCTATATATACACTCACCGGCCACTTTATTAGGTACCCCATGCTAGTAACGGGTTGGACCCCCTTTTGCCTTCAGAACTGCCTCAATTCTTCGTGGCATAGATTCAACAAGGTGCTGGAAGCATTCCTCAGGGAGTTTGGTCCATATTGACATGATGACATCACACAGTTGCCGCAGATTTGTCGGCTGCACATCCATGATGCGAATCTCCCGTTCCACCACATCCCAAAGATGCTCTATTGGGTTGAGATCTGGTGACTGTGGAGGCCATTTTAGTACAGTGAACTCATTGTCATGTTCAAGAAACCAATTTGAAATGATTAGAGCTTTGTGACATGGTGGAAGTAGCCATCAGAGGATGGGTACATGGTGGCCATAAAGGGATGGACATGGTCAGAAACAATGCTCAGGTAGGCCGTGGCATTTAAACGATGCCCAATTGGCACTAAGGGGCCTAAAGTGTGCAAGGAAAACATCCCCCACACCATTACACCACCACCACCAGCCTGCACAGTGGTAACAAGGCATGATGGTTCCATGTTCTCATTCTGTTTACGCCAAATTCTGACTCTAACATCTGAATGTCTCAACAGAAATCGAGACTCATCAGACCAGGCAACATTTTTCCAGTCTTCAACTGTTCAATTTTGGTGAGCTTTTGCAAATTGTAGCCTCTTTTTCCTATTTGTAGTGGAGATGAGTGGTACCCGGTGGAGTCTTCTGCGTTTGTAGCCCATCCGCCTCAAGGTTGTGCGTGTTGTGGCTTCACAAATGCTTTGCTGCATACCTCGGTTGTAACGAGTGGTTATTTCAGTCACTGTTGCCCTTCTATCAGCTCGAACCAGTCTGGCCATTCTCCTCTGACCTCTGGCATCAACAAGGCATTTCCGCCCACAGAACTGCCGCTCACTGGATGTTTTTTCTTTTTCGGACCATTCTCTGTAAACCCTAGAGATGGTTGTGCGTGAAAATCCCAGTAGATTAGCAGTTTCTGAAATACTCAGACCAGCCCTTCTGGCACCAACAATCATGCCACGTTCAAAGTCACTCAAATCACCTTTCTTCCCCATACTGATGCTCGGTTTGAACTGCAGGAGATTGTCTTGACCATGTCTACATGCCTAAATGCACTGAGTTGCCGCCATGTGATTGGCTGCTTAGAAATTAAGTGTTAACGAGCAGTTGGACAGGTGTACCTAATAAAGTGGCCGGTGAGTGTATATATATATGTTGTTTAAAATAATGTTTTGGAGCCTTGCTGCAGTCGGTAGTGTGCAGAGAAGCTGTTGGCAGTTCTGAGTCCAGCCTTCTGTCTCAATCTGCAGTGTTTCTGTTGTTCTACACGGTTTTATATATAAGGGCAACAAAAAATCTCACCTGAAGGGAGTTCCTTTGATGTCTGTGTAGTAGTAGTCGTTGTGTAGAACAAGCACACGCTTCTGAGACACAGTCATAAACAAACACACAAACACTATAAGAGGATGAAAGAAAAGACCTTTTCAGAAGTGTGTGTGTGTGTGTGTAGAGGGAGTTTCTTGCCCCTTTATCCACAGTCTTCTTCACTTTCATAGAGAAGCTCCCCGTCTGTCTGTTCACCATGGCATTACGCAACTAGACAAACAATAAAAAACAACAACAAAAACATATCTGATAATCAAATTGAGAAATCTAAAACCTGTCCTATATTTTTCAAGCACCAAAAAAGATAACTAGATTGTAATATTTGAATAATAATAATAAAATGTGAGTTGTCCATGTTTCTAAGTGATTTCTAGTGTGGTTGCTTATGGTATTTGAGCCCTCCCACACTGTAAGTCTCTATGATATTCTGATCTCCAGACAAACGACTTCACATCCATTTATTCTGACTTTGACTATGTTCTCAGAAACCAATAAGTGTCTGTCTAGCTCTTAAACCCTGTTTGCATCTAGTATTGAGATCCATATGAGGAAATCCAATGACAAGTGATCAGCAAAAAAGTTTTTATTTTTTGCAGCTTTAAAAGAAAATGAATATTCATCGGGAAAAAAGGAAAATCCCCTGAATATACTTGATATGCATAACTTTGCAGAATTCCTTCAATATAGATTTTGATTGGCTCTCAATGTTTTTAACAATCATCAGCTGAAAAAAAAGCTTTGATAGTGATTCCAATGATTTCATGGACTCCACTATCCTCTCTTTTTATAAATTGTGTTCATAGTTAAAATGTTGGTGTGAACTGGCTTTTACAGGGCCAAGCGTAACAACAACAGTTTTGTTACAAGTAAACATAAAAGGAAATAGCATAATGATTTAAAAGGTCAAAAGTAATGCGTTTGTAGCCTTTTCAAACTTTATGCAACTCTATAATATACCAGCGCAACCCATAATTCCAATATAAGATATTTGACTAAAACACCTCATTCCAATTATCTTTTTTTAATGTAGTACAATTAGCTGTTTTTATCTCAGTTAGATTGGTTTGTCAATAACTGAGACTATCAGGTAATTCCAGAGAGTTTCGGTCACAAGCAGAGAGGACCCATGATCTAACTCCAGCAGGGTTTACCAAACTCAACATCTCAAACAGGAACAAAGAAACATGAACAGAAGAACCTACTTAAACAAAACATCGACTTACAAGAATCAGACTGAAACACAGGGCTTAAATACACATGCTGCGTCCCAATTCGCATACTATCCGTCCTAAATAGTATGCGAAAATAGAATTAGTACGTCCCAAATCGTAGTATGTTGAAATGAGTGTTCCAAATCGATGCGCATGCGTTAACGGCTGATATTGTCCACAACCCTTCGAGCGTTGGACGAGGATTCGGTTAGAACTACAAACACGAGTGAAAAGTGTTAAAAAACTACAGACATGGAGGACGCGCAAGTCCGGCGGTTATGTAGAGAGGTTTAGATAAAGGGGTTTGAGTGATTAAGTATCAGTATCTAACCTGAAGAAAATGTATTTATTCAATGTTGTCCACATTATATTGCATCTGCAGCAGCATTGTGAACTTTTGTAAAGATACGTTTAGACATTAACTTTTAAAAGCATCATTATATTCAAACTGCAAACACACGAGGAGAGTCTCGGCATGAAAGACCGACGACTGGCAGATCAACGTGCAACAACATTTCTCTCCAAAACTGTAAGAAATTAAATTAGATTGAATGGAGGATTCTAACTGTGACAATATGATTGACAGGTCAGTTTACGGTGACAGGATGATTGACAGGTCAGTTTACGGTGACAGGATGATTGACAGGTCAGTTTACGGTGACAGGATGATTGACAGCTCAGTTAACGGTGACAGGATGATTGCCAGGGCAGTTTACGGTGACAGGATGATGATTGACAGGGCAGTTTACGGTGACAGGATGATTGACAGGGCAGTTCACGGTGACAGGATGATTGACAGGGCAGTTTACGGTGACAGGATGATGATTGACAGGGCAGTTTACGGTGACAGGATGATGATTGACAGGGCAGTTTACTGTGACAGGATGATTGACAGGGCAGTTTACGGTGACAGGATGATTGACAGGTTAGTTTACGGTGACAGGATGATTGACAGGGCAGTTTACGGTGACAGGATGATTGACAGGGCAGTTTACGGTGACAGGATGATTGACAGGGCAGTTTACGGTGACAGGATGATTGACAGGGCAGTTCACGGTGACAGGATGATTGACAGGGCAGTTCACGGTGACAGGATGATTGACAGGGCAGTTTACGGTGAGAGGATGATTGACAGGGCAGTTCACGGTGACAGGATGATTGACAGGGCAGTTTACGGTGACAGGATGATTGACAGGGCAGTTTACGGTGACAGGATGATTGACAGGGCAGTTCACAGTGACAGGATGATTGACAGGGCAGTTTACGGTGACAGGATGATTGACAGGGCAGTTTACGGTGACAGGATGATTGACAGGGCAGTTTACGGTGACAGGATGATTGACAGGGCAGTTCACAGTGACAGGATGATTGACAGGGCAGGATCAGGGAGACGAGACACAGCTGGGACACAGGAACTCATAACGACTAATGAACAAAGTTTTATAAGACTTTGTGAAGATATTCCATGTTCATGTTTCAGGCTTCAGAATTGAATAATGAAGGAACTCTACTTACTGGTAATAATGGTTAAATAATATTCACATTGTATATGATGAGTCAGTGAGATAAAGGTAAACGAATGTGGCTTGTTCCCTCTTTGACTTTTTAATTAAGAAAGACTTATGTTAATACATAAATGAAGTAAAGGTGGAGTAAGTGGCGTTGGATTTAATGATGTGGCTGTGTATATATCGTTGTGTTATGATTAACAGGTTTCACATGAACTTTCTTTCAAACTGTATTTATAATTTTTTATAAAATGATATTTATAACTTTTGTAATAAGTATAACCACAAGCGTACCTCGTCCTCCGTGTCTTCCCACTCCACCTCAGACAGATCCACACTGCTGTAGCTGGACCTCCTCCGCTTCTTCCCTTCTTCATACTAGAAACACGTGACATTGAAACACCAGTGACATTAATTAACATGATGTGTATTAGTGTGACACTGTAATAAGTAATAAACACTAGTAACTGACTTTTTTCTATAGATCATTAAAAAATACATTCTGTAAGTCAATACAACATGTAAACCTGTAATGAATGTTTGTCCCACAGAGATCAGACTGTAAAAGCTGTTGTGCCAGGACATGTGGATCAGTGTGTGTGTGTGACGGTGTGTGTGGATCAGTGTGTGTGACAGGTGTGTGGATCAGTGTGTGTGACGGTGTGTGTGGATCAGTGTGTGTGACGTGTGTGTGGATCAGTGTGTGTGACGGTGTGTGTGGATCAGTGTGTGTGGATCAGTGTGTGTGGATCAGTGTGTGTGTGTGACGGTGTGTGTGGATCAGTGTGTGTGACAGGTGTGTGGATCAGTGTGTGTGACGGTGTGTGTGGATCAGTGTGTGTGACGGGTGTGTGGATCAGTGTGTGTGACGGGTGTGTGGATCAGTGTGTGTGGATCAGTGTGTGTGGATCAGTGTGTGTGGATCAGTGTCTGTGGATCAGTGTCTGTGGATCAGTGTGTGTGGATCAGTGTCTGTGGATCAGTGTGTGTGGATCAGTGTGTGTGGATCAGTGTGTGTGGATCAGTGTGTGTGGATCAGTGTGTGTGACGGGTGTGTGGATCAGTGTGTGTGGATCAGTGTGTGTGGATCAGTGTGTGTGGATCAGTGTGTGTGGATCAGTGTCTGTGGATCAGTGTGTGTGGATCAGTGTGTGTGGATCAGTGTGTGTGGATCAGTGTGTGTGGATCAGTGTGTGTGGATCAGTGTGTGTGGATCAGTGTGTGTGGATCAGTGTGTGTGGATCAGTGTGTGTGGATCAGTGTCTGTGGATCAGTGTGTGTGGATCAGTGTGTGTGGATCAGTGTGTGTGGATCAGTGTGTGTGGATCAGTGTGTGTGGATCAGTGTGTGTGGATCAGTGTCTGTGGATCAGTGTCTGTGGATCAGTGTGTGTGGATCAGTGTGTGTGGATCAGTGTGTGTGGATCAGTGTGTGTGGATCAGTGTGTGTGGATCAGTGTCTGTGGATCAGTGTGTGTGGATCAGTGTGTGTGGATCAGTGTGTGTGGATCAGTGTGTGTGGATCAGTGTGTGTGACGGGTGTGTGGATCAGTGTGTGTGACGGTGTGTGTGGATCAGTGTGTGTGTGACGGTGTGTGTGGATCAGTGTGTGTGTGACAGGTGTGTGTGGATCAGTGTGTGTGGATCAGTGTGTGTGGATCAGTGTGTGTGGATCAGTGTGTGTGACGGGTGTGTGGATCAGTGTGTGTGACGGTGTGTGTGGATCAGTGTGTGTGTGACGGTGTGTGTGGATCAGTGTGTGTGACGGTGTGTGTGGATCAGTGTGTGTGTGACAGGTGTGTGGATCAATGTGTGTGGATCAGTGTGTGTGATGGTGTGTGTGTGACGGTGTGTGTGACGTGTGTGTGGATCAGTGTGTGTGGATCAGTGTGTGTGTGACGGTGTGTGTGGATCAGTGTGTGTGGATCAGTGTGTGTGACGGTGTGTGGATCAGTGTGTGTGACGTGTGTGTGGATCAGTGTGTGTGACGGTGTGTGGATCAGTGTGTGTTACGTGTGTGTGGATCAGTGTGTGTGACGGTGTGTGGATCAGTGTGTGTGACGTGTGTGTGGATCAGTGTGTGTGACGGTGTGTGGATCAGTGTGTGTGACGGGTGTGTGGATCAGTGTGTGTGGATTAGTGTGTGTGATGGTGTGTGTGTGACGGTGTGTGTGACGTGTGTGTGGATCAGTGTGTGTGGATCAGTGTGTGTGACGTGTGTGTGGATCAGTGTGTGTGGATCAGTGTGTGTGACGGGTGTGTGGATCAGTGTGTGTGACGTGTGTGTGGATCAGTGTGTGTGACGTGTGTGTGGATCAGTGTGTGTGGATCAGTGTGTGTGACGGGTGTGTGGATCAGTGTGTGTGACGTGTGTGTGGATCAGTGTGTGTGGATCAGTGTGTGTGGATCAGTGTGTGTGACGTGTGTGTGGATCAGTGTGTGTGGATCAGTGTGTGTGACGTGTGTGTGGATCAGTCTGTGTGGATCAGTGTGTGTGACGTGTGTGTGGATCAGTCTGTGTGGATCAGTGTGTGTGACGTGTGTGTGGATCAGTCTGTGTGGATCAGTGTGTGTGACGTGTGTGTGGATCAGTGTGTGTGACGTGTGTGTGGATCAGTCTGTGTGGATCAGTGTGTGTGACGGGTGTGTGGATCAGTGTGTGTGACGTGTGTGTGGATCAGTGTGTGTGGATCAGTGTGTGTGGATCAGTGTGTGTGACGTGTGTGTGGATCAGTCTGTGTGGATCAGTGTGTGTGACGTGTGTGTGGATCAGTCTGTGTGGATCAGTGTGTGTGACGTGTGTGTGGATCAGTCTGTGTGGATCAGTGTGTGTGACGTGTGTGTGGATCAGTGTGTGTGACGTGTGTGTGGATCAGTGTGTGTGGATCAGTGTGTGTGACGGGTGTGTGGATCAGTGTGTGTGACGTGTGTGTGGATCAGTGTGTGTGGATCAGTGTGTGACGGTGTGTGTGACGTGTGTGTGGATCAGTGTGTGTGGATCAGTGTGTGTGACGGTGTGTGGATCAGTCTGTGTGGATCAGTGTGTGTGACGTGTGTGTGGATCAGTGTGTGTGACGTGTGTGTGGATCAGTGTGTGTGGATCAGTGTGTGTGACGTGTGTGTGGATCAGTCTGTGTGGATCAGTGTGTGTGACGTGTGTGTGGATCAGTGTGTGTGACGTGTGTGTGGATCAGTGTGTGTGGATCAGTGTGTGTGACGGGTGTGTGGATCAGTGTGTGTGACGTGTGTGTGGATCAGTGTGTGTGGATCAGTGTGTGACGGTGTGTGTGACGTGTGTGTGGATCAGTGTGTGTGGATCAGTGTGTGTGACGGTGTGTGTGACGTGTGTGTGTGACGTGTGTGTGTGACGTGTGTAGACTGCCCTCCAGTGGCAGAAGGACACTAAAGGAAGAGTCCAGATGCTTATCTTTTTAAACGCAGAGAATAAAAGAGCAGGCTTTTTCTGTTGCGATGTGAAGTTGTGTGTTAATTCAGCAACATTATTAAAAAAGAAAGGAATAAAAGTCCAGGTCACGTTTCACTCCAAAAACAGAAGAAAACAAAATATAATGCATTTATGATCAATTAAATACAATACAATAAATACTACCAAAAGGCAGTAACACAATAATATATATATATATAATCAAAAGTGCTACAACAAAACGAATTACTTTAATTAAATGTTCACATTACAGTATTGTAATGATATTTATGAATTACATTTATTGGCCTTATGCTAATGAGAACGTATTTAATTGTTATAAAATGTAATGGCTCTTAAAAAGGCTTTTTTACATTGCAAAATATCATTTCTTCTTCCATTTGATTTTTATGGGATGAAAAATGACCTAGATGTGTTTTAGCATTGCTGGTCTCCTGCATTATACCAGCTCTAATCCGCATAAACCAGCCGGGACAAACATGACATGCATGCTGGAAGATTCAGCATAGAACCAAAACATATATAAACTTGTGATCGTCTTGACTGTTTTCATTGCCCTCTTACTCAGATCCTGAGGACTTTTCCTCTTTGACTATTACACAGCTTTGTTTATGGACAATTCACACCGCAGTGAAATCATGGAGGTTTGATTCTTGAGCTGTTGATGTTCCCATCTCATCATCTGTCAAACACTCATTACTGCCCACAGCTGTCGGCTCACAGCACAATGCCTCTAATGAGACGCTTTCTCCCATCAGCCTCAGCGTTCACTATCATCATCATCATCATCTTCATCATCATCATCATCATCTCCTCATCACAAGCGATACATTACCAGAGGCTGCAGGTCTGGATGGGTGAGTATGTATCCGTTGTTGGTGATGGCAAAGGCATAACCATGGATTCCCAGCTGTGAACACACACACACACACACACACACACGCACACACACACAAATCAAAATCAGAGAACCTGACACATTTTTAAACTGCAGAAATCCACAGTCTTTTAAAGAGCCCATAAAGACCTCATGTCTCGCAGCCGTCTATAATCTCAGCTGAAGACTCATCTCTACTCACTGAAACCGGTGATGTGATTATATGTTATATATTGTATATGATTAATTAATCTGTATTGTAACTTTTGGTAGTGTAAAACACTTTGGTCCACTTGTGTTGCTTTTAAATGTACTACAGAAATATATGTTGATCGATTGAACAGATACATGTATTATATGTCCATTTTAATATGTAAAACCTTCCAAGAGTGATGCATGATATGATGCTTCTCGGTCTTACTCGCCCCAGGAGCTGGCAAGCTGACATGAGATCCGTTTGTCCTTTGTGTCAAGAGAAGTTCAAGCACACGGGTTAAGACAGGAATCGAGCAGGGTCTCTCTTTACTGTCGGTGACTCATCATGCTGTGCCGTGCCAATTTCAGTGTAGACAGTTTCACTGATTATAATGGGTCTTATTGGTTTTTTGAAGTTTCTGATCAATAAGAGTGATTTTTATTTTAATAGTCCAATTAAGTCATTCTACTTACTAGAAGTAACTTTACAACTACATGTCAACTAATTCTCAGAGTATTAATAGATTATCTTAGGTTAGGGTTACTGGAATAAGTTGACATACGTTGAAAAGTTACTTATAGTCAGTTAGGGGAGCATCACATTAAAGTGTTATTAAGCAGACAGTCTACTAATACTCTAATTTTATAGTTTTTATACATTTATAGTAGAATGTCTAAAGTGGACTATCAAAATAAAGTTAACATTTCTTATTATAGCAATAGCTTTGATGAGGGAGAGCAATCCAAAACTGTCCCGTCTCCACCAAGATCTCCCTCACCTTCCACACACCCACCACACTCTACCTCACTGTGCACATAGACTATAATCGCACACACCGGCTCCTCATTTACAGTATTTGATGAGACTAAGACTGCATTACACACACAGTTTGTCTGGTCTCGTTGATGTCCACCACAAAGGCTCAGACTCCGCTTCCCTTCCGTGTGGATGGACCGGTTTGTCCTCCTCATTTGAACTCCATTATATTTTTCCATCGTCGCTATGCTCGTGTTAACGGTTTATCTCCAGAGCTGAACCTCCATTGGAGATTCAGACTGTTTATTGTGTTCAACCAACTGATTGAATTACATCTGATACTCACCTGTTGTTCTGTGCACAATTCTCCTACCATCCGTTGAATCATCTTTCCCCCCAGTGTTCGGGAGACCACGGGGGACCAGCAGAGTGGGATGCCCTGGTGGAGACGCAGGGATGGAGACCCACGATGGAGCCTAGCGGTGCAGTCCATGAGAGAGCTGGAAGACTGATGCAAAGTCAGGGAGACTGGAGGGCTGGAGAACCAGGGGGATACCACTGGACCGGAGGGGTCAAGGTGGAGCCGGCTGATCCGAGGACTGAGGTAAAGCTGGGGGCTCGGAAGACCGAGGTGGAGCCGGCTGATCCGAGGACTGAGGTAAAGCTGGGGGCTCGGAAGACCGAGGTGGAGCCGGCTGATCCGAGGACTGAGGTAAAGCTGGGGGCTCAGAAGACCGAGGTGGAGCCGGCTGATCCGAGGACTGAGGTAAAGCTGGGGGCTCGGAAGACCGAGGTGGAGCCGGCTGATCCGAGGACTGAGGTAAAGCTGGGGGCTCAGAAGACCGAGGTGGAGCCGGCTGATCCGAGGACTGAGGTAAAGCTGGGGGCTCGGAAGACCGAGGTGGAGCCGGTGGGAGTGAGGACAACAGAGGAGCTGGAGTCAAGTCAAGTCAAGTCATCTTCATTTATATAGCGCTTTTAACAATGAATTGTTTCAAAGCAGCTTTACAGAGATAAACATATAATTTAAGGTAACAGATTGTTTTGGCGTTATAGCGGTGGAGGGATAGAGGACACAGATGATGAAGCCGATTAAGTGGATAGCCACAGGCCCTGAAGTCCGTGGTGGAGGTGAGAGAGCGAGGAGCCACGGTGGAGCCATCGGATTGAAGGAACAAGGGGGTGTCCTAAGCTCATATGGACAAGGTGAAGTCGAAGGGTCAAAACTCTGAGGCCACCAGTCTGAAAACCACTGTGGATCTGGGTAACCAGGAGGCTGTGATCACACCAGTGGAGCTGGATGGCTAGGAGAGTCAGCGGATCAGAAGGATGAGGCGGAGCCTGGGAACTGGATAGAACCAGCAGTGGAAACAAAGACAAGGAGCTGGATGTAACCAGCGGAGCAAGAAGGCATTCTAGTGTGGGAATGAGATCTGTTGTCCTCAAGTCTTTCAGCAATTCCTTCCCTACCGTCTCTGGGACGGACACTGCGACAGGCTCAGTTAGGGGGGAACCGGCCAGCCACAACGCATATTCAATGTACTGGAGAAGTGAACCTCCCGACCACTGGAGGAGAAGAGCACCAGCCTTCCCGCTGTGGAACTCAGAGTCCGAAGCTGCGGTAGACAGAAACGTATACAAGCCAAAAGAGATCAAATCACGAGCTTCCAGACTTGAACACCACACCTCACGTGTGAACTCCAGGGAGCTATGGGGGAAGATAGGTTTGCTTGCAGTTAGTGGCTCTCTGCTGGTCAGCCTCATCTGTATTTAACATTTTGTATTAGTTCTGTGTGTGTGTGTGTGTGTGTCTGTGTGTGTGTGTGTGTGTGTGTGTGTGTGTGTGTGTCAGTGTGTGAGTGTGAGTGTGTGTGTGTGTGTGCATTGTATGGGTCTGCTCTCCACTACTCCACTGTCACACTAATGATTATTTCAAAAGGAAAGATAGTCACTTTGATACAAACTTACTTGAAACCTGCATTTTCATTGGAAATATGTCAAACACAGGAAGGAAAACTGCAGAAGTCAAGCCATTTTGTCAACATGAAATGAAAATTGAATCTATTTATTTTGTTAATACACATTACTGGTCTTTTTTTGAATTAACCAGGGCACATCATTCTAGAGATAAAAAGTTTTTCTTTGTATTCTTTCATTTATAGATACATATAACACTGGTGCTAGAAACATACTCAACGGGGTTCTAATAAATGGAGAACAATTAAAATAATATAAGAATTACAGGTTGTTTGTGTACCTTGTATTTGGGGATAGCCTTCAGTATTTCAGACACTGGAACATCTGTGCCAACCACTCCAAGAAGAATTCCTTTATTTCTCTTAAAACAATGAACATGAGTGTGTTAGGGACATCTTTATTTTTATTTCTTACATTACATGGCATTATTTCCTCTGTCTAGTACAGGGGTTCCCAATCCTGTTCCTGGAGATCTACCTACCAGCAGAGTTCAGATCCAGCCCTGATCCAACACACTTGTCTGTAATTATCAAGTGCTCCTGAAGAACTTGGCAGGGAGGTAAATCTCCAGGAACAGGATTAGTTCTAGTATGATAAGCGTTATACGGAAACATTCATAGTGACCAAATAACCACTGGTTATCATTACAGAAGTCAATGTTTAGCATCACTCACGGTCTCGTTCTTGGTGCTGAACACAGGCATGGCCACAGTAGTCATGAGCACAGGACCCTGAGCATCTTCCAACTATACAAATGGACAACAACACATAGTGGTGGATGAATACTATTTGACTTTTCAAACTGACTTTTCATACGTTTTTACAAAATGTGAAATACACTGCTACAGGTATAAATTGCTGCTGTCTCCAGATGAAACACTTGTGACACTAGAAGTATACTTCCCACTATAAACCAATCACAAATCAAGATAGGGCATTCAGTAAATAATGACTTTAACATCTCTCTGATCCTCACAAAGCTATCATATGATTTTTTTAAAAACTTGGAATGAGAAGTTAATTGTCTTGCATTAATGTTAATGGTTTGTTGTATTGTCTTTCTAGTTGTTGGTGTTCATTAAAAGCATCGTTATTTCATTCATTTTGTATCGCATCGTCTTTTGGATTATACTACACACCTAAACCTTGACAGAACACGAGACCTAGATTGGATTATATCAGCAAAAGGATTTAAAACAATGGATATACCTGCTCCTCTTGCTGGAGCAGGGGGATTGCTCCCTTGAGGATCACAGGAGGGAATTTCTAGATCTGGCGGGCCTCACCCACTATCCCAATGCTCGTTGTGCATATTCTATAACACCGGACTCAATGAGTGGTCGAAGGCACGTCTGTCCATGGATGGTCCTCCGAGGAGCTTTGTCAAGTATGTGGAGTGCGTGCTGGTAAGGTGCAAGTCCCCCTTTACAACACCAGCCTCACTCCGGACCCAGACCCCAGCCAGCCTTCAGCTATGCTGGCCACGGAAGAAAAGCCAGAGCCCACAGCTGACTCAGAGCCCAAGCCCCCCATAAAAATAGGGCCAGAGCAATTAGCAAAGGCCATGGCATCCCGGAGCCTGAGCCCATAATGGAGTCTGTTCAGGTGTGTGAGCCCGCGTCAGCATCTGTCATCCAGGGCATACAGTATTAGTGGAGTGTGTCGGAATGGATTGGAGCCTCGCCCACACTCCCTTCACTGAGGTGCGTGAAATGAGCTAGGTTACTAAGGAATTATTTTACAAGCCGGATAAGGAGATATTTGTTGGTCTACAGTCTCCGCTGGTTCTGTCCAGTTCCAAGTCATCTTCATCTCTGCTGGTTCAACCCAGTTCCAAGTTATCTTCGTCGCCGCTGCTTAAGCCCAATTACAAGTCGTCTTCATTGTCATTATATCAAACAAGCACCATGTCTCTTTTGTCATCCAGCACCAAGTCTCCTTCTTCGGGGATTGTCTCACCCAGCCTCCCTCTACCTCCTCCTCTGCCAAAGCCATTCAGTTCCTCGGCCTCACCTCCACGGTCTCCTCCCAGGCTCCTCCTTCGGTGGTTTCACCCAGCTGCTTGGATCCGCCTGTGGCTTCCCAGTCATCAGCTCCACCTTGGCCTGTGGATCCCTCAGCTCCACCTCGCGACTAGGAGCCCCGGACTCCACCTTGGCCCTCCGAGCTCCACCATGTTCTGTCATCCCTCAGGCTACGCAGGGGTCCCTCGTCCCTCAGCCTCTACCTTGGTCAATTGTTGCTCCAGCTCCGACTAGGATTCTCCTCTCTGGTTTCTCCCACCATCATCTCGTCCCTGATTCCTATGGTCATCTTCTCTTTGGTGTCTCCCTCTGCCTGCTCCTCGTCCTCCTCCAGAGCCCCCTGCCTCCTCAGTTTGCAGCGCGAGGACGTGCCTTCCGGGGGGTGGGGGGTGATGAATGTCATAATATCAGGGTCATGTTTAGTTTAACTGTTTTGTTCTCTTTAGTTTCTAGTCATGGTGTTCTTTGTCACTATTTTGCCTGTGTTTACATTTGTTGACATGGTTCCAAATTAGTTCTCACCTGTTCCCTTTTCCATTAATGATCTTCCTCTGTGCATTTAAGCTCTCGGCTCTGCGTTAACGTTAATGGTTGTCTTTCTAGTTGTTGGTGTCCATTAAAAGTACTGTTATTTCATTCATTCTGCATCACACATCTCGCCTGTTGGATATTAAGCAACAGGAGTGCATTCACAAGCGTGTGGAAGCTGCCACGTGGTGAATGGACTACAGTATGTTCAGATTTTATTTATACTGCATGCTTTCATATTTTATAGTAGTAAAATTTTAAAATAAGAGTTTAATGAGTCAGCTCAAAAATGTCTTAAAGACTACTTTTCTAGTTTACTGAACATGTCTTTTCTATTTGTTTATCTAGATGTTCTGACTTATGTGGTGAACAGCACATTCCAGGGCCCAGTTTATGTCCGGGCCCCTCTCTCTCCATAACAGTGGACAAAGGTTTGCTAGATTTTGATTCAATCTTGGTGGACTAACACAAACAAACTGTCCAACTCCATCAGACAGAGATGCTAGGACAACAGCCAGACACCTCTAAGAGGGCCAGAAGACCTCTGGTACCAAGCCCAGGAAAGACAGAACTTTCTGGCCTTTGACTGCCATAAAACTCCTCAGGACCTCAGCAGCAGTGGGTGAAACAAAGAGAGATCACAATGATCCTCACAAATCCATTTAACTATGTTTGGAAACCTTAAAACTGATGTAAACTTCACACATCCTTTTCATTCTTATTCAGAGAAATAAGTATTCTCGGTGACAGCTATTTGTAATGTAACATCTTACACAAATTCAGCTGTTAAATGTACAAAAATGAATGAATGCATGACAGTTCAATCTTTTTCCATCTTGTTTGGTCTCTATTTGTTTAGAATATTGCCAAAGGTATTCTGGAGGTGGTTTGGAAAGTAAGAAATGCAATGGTACACTTTAAAGACTTCTAACGGTGTGCTTTATGTAAATGAGTTCCACAGGGGAAAGAAGAGTGGGCCAACACTGTGTTTCTCGCCTCTGATGCCAGCAGACAATCACAGCACTGGAATGGAGAAGTGCCAAATTGCAATCTCCTCCTTATCGGAAAGGGAAAAAGGTGCCCTTTCAACAGACACCCCTTGTTCTGAGTCTCAGGCCTGTAATGGGAGAGACATTAACAGATACACCAATTTCTGAGTCTGTCCTGTATGGTAATAGACAGAAACAGATAAATAACGTTCTGAGTATCGGCCTGAAAGGCTGAGACTGTAACAGATACGACCAGGTTCTGAGCCTCCAGTCTGTGAGGAAAGAGACAAGCGCTGCGTTCAGAGTCTTCGTCCTGAAAGACAATAACAGAGGCAGCAAATTCCAAGTCCCCATGCCAGAGAGACAAAAGCGGATTGACCAAGTTCTGAGTGTCTGGCCCAGAGAGGTAGAAGACACAGAGACATTTGCAAAAAGGTTAAGCTCAGCAGAGCAAACCTTCACTTCAAGGTTCCTCGTCTGCGTGTTCCAGATTAAGGACTTGCTACACCTACTCCAGGGCCTGGTCTGCGTGTTCCAGATGTTAGGACCCACTGGTGCTCCAGGAGATCAGCATCCCACAGATCTTCGTGTTCACTGCTGTTGAAACGGATTCCGGTTCCTTTCCCCACTGCACAACCAGTGGAAGACATCACCGCCATAGGCCTGCTCACTCGACCACGTGGAGCAGAAATATCACTTTACCAAACCTCTTTTCAGAGACCTTGGCAATAATAAATTCATAAAATATAAATATGCAGATGAGCCCCGCCTCCACTCACTCACTCAGCTCAGAGATCCACTGGTTGACGATCACACGTTGATCTGATTGGTTACAAGGTCGTTTGTGACGTCAGAAACACCAGCGATTTCAAACCGTGTTTTTGAGACTGTCTTTGGTTCACTGCAGTTTTAAGGAGGAAATACTCAGCAATGCTGTCGACTTATGAACTTACACACGGTGTGTCTTAAAGCGTATTAAACACCACAGACATATAAACAACATTAAACGCTGGATTTTCACCACAGGGGGACTTTAAGAGAAAAAACAGTTTATCTTTCCATAAGATAACATAACTCTTCCATCCACACACTCAACTTAATCACTTTTATTATATCCGTCAAATGCACATTATTCCTTTATCACTCACGGTATTCATTTAGTATTTGTGTTAGTTATTCTTGTATATCTTTGGTTAATACTATTTATTTTATTACAATTGTGTCTTCCTTGTAATGATAATACAGCAAAAGGCTCCGCAAGGTAGAAATCTCACCAATCCTTCAGATAAATCAGCTGAGCATTTACATTAATTCTGAATGATTGAACAGCCTCCCGTTGGGAGTGTTCTCGTTCTGCCAAGGTAAAAGTCCTTGACTGGTGTCCTGAACTAAGAGAGGGGGAAGGTGGTCATCTGATGTACTCATTTATTTATTTATTTTGGCATTTTTGTGCTTTTTGCAGAAAGGATAGTGGAGATTGACATGAAAGCTGTTTTTTTTTGGGTGGAGATCAAAAGACCTTGAGTCGTATTCGAACCCGGGTCGGACGGAGGCACAGTTGTGCCATGTGTCACTGCGCTAACCAGTAGGCTATCAGCGCCCACATCGGATATACTCATAACCACACCTTGAGTTACGTCTGACCCAAAAATCACAATGTCAGGAGTGACTTGAGTATTGATCTCTACATTACTTAGCGTCCTTGGATGGGCGAAATTAAATCACTACATTTATTCATGTAACCAATATTTTTCTTTCATTGTAATAACCACTTACTTTGTTAGTTAGTTTTAGTCAGCTTGTTTTTTTTTTGCATTGTTATAGACCCAACTGTACTAGACTCTTAGTGCCTCTGAGTGGGATCTTCACCTGGAAGCTACCTCGGGCAGTGTATTTCAGGTTGTGTAAACACCATCTAGCCAAGACCCTTTTGTTGCTTGACCCTTTTTTAAATTTCAGCTGCCCTAAAAATGTGTGATGAACTTGTCTGTCAACATCCTTAAAATCTTATGATTGTGCTCACCCTTCACATTCGCTTAGAAGATATCTTCCCCCAGAATTCTCCTTTTACCAAATGTTAAAAAAAAATCTAAATACAGTATATTTTAAAGATATAACATTAAATACATGTTGATCATGTGTTTTTAAATTAGACAGATGTATAATGTGTATATTACAAGTAACGTTAACAAAAAAAGACAGTTTCCAGAAGGAACACTGCATCAATAAATAGTCAACAAAATCAATACACTACGAAACCTTCAGATGAATAATGCAGAATCTGTAAAATCCTCTGAAATAAGAGGGTAAAGACTCGCTGAAGGCAGGACTCATGTGCAGCGAGTGATACTGATGCTCAGGTGTGGAGAGATGTGGCTCAGCTGCCGGACACTGAAGAAGAGCTTCATCTAAATCTGAAACGTCACAGCCTACTTCTCCCTGATGGCAGCAACACACATGCATATGCACGAGTCATGCACAACTGCACATTCACAAACACTCATTTGATGAATTCATGATCTGTAAAAACAAGTCACAAACATACATTCTCACAAGAAGTCAGAAGTGGGGCAATGAACTAAGGATCAGATAAATACATGTCCTTCCCTTATTTACACTGCTCTCTCGGTGCCTCTACAGGAGTCAATGGGCTCTAACATGATGAATGATCATGCTGACTTGTGTTGAAAACAAGAGAACCCTACACACTCCAAGCCTCATCCAAACACTCACGCTAAGAGTGAATAAAACACTAGTCTTTAGATGTGTCACTGAAGCCCTTCTGGATCCTGGTTGGCCGAGGCTTAATATGCATTTAAAACAGAGCGGTTTCATGGCCTTTATCAGAGCTGACCACACAGTGAAAAATACGTGTGCTTAGTTGTATTGAATGTGCACTTGTTGTTCATTTCAAATATTAGATCATAAAATATTAACGAAAAGGCTACTTAAGTGTAGCCTACTTAAAGAGAGCACACTTTCATGAATACAAAGTTCTGTCCTGAAACTCTAGTGAACTCAATTAGTTAGCGATCACATCGTTATCTTCATAGCGCAGCTGATTGGTTTCTGATGCATTAACATCCACATCCCAGGCGTTGGTAAGAATGTTGAACATCAGCAACAGAATCGTATGGTTTATTCGCCAGGCGACCAGTATATGTAAAGTAAAGGAACTATATGGTCAAGTCTTCTCTTATCTCTTCCACACATGTACAAAGATTGGACTCCACACTACAGAGAAAGCAGATCCTCCAGAATACACAGATGACTGTGAAATCGAGTATGGCAGTGTGACACAGACTACACAACACCACTGGCATGAAAAATCAAGAGAATGAAAACTTGTCCAGACTGCACACAATATAGCACAAAGCACACACACTCAATGGGTTAATGCAGAAACACTGTTCAATCACACTCAAACCTTTACCTTTTGAGCCTGTGGACGCTACAAAGACAAAACACAAATTACCATCAAATGAGTGTAAACACACACACATATCACTGCTCGTCTTTACTACTGAAAGCAGTGCCTGGATCTGAATCATCTATTGATGTACATTTCACTGGGTTTGGTCTGTAATGTCCAGGACATAGGTCGGCAACCCGCGGCTCTAGAGCCGCATGCGGCTCTTAAGCGCCGCCCTAGTGGCTCCTTGGAGCTTTTTCAAAAATTTGAAAATGGAAAAAATATTTTTTGTTTTAATATAATTTCTGTAGGGTGAAAAACATGACAAACATTCTTAAAGTTTTTCAACGTTGTAAAAATGTGTATAATAAATATTTAATTTCAACATTTCTGTCAACGAAGAATTTACGTCATAGACTGTGACACACGTGTCTGTCAGATCGGCGTGATGCCAGACCGGTGGCTGACAAACAAACCGGCGGGTGTGTCATGGGCCATGCATCCCAAGGGGAAAAAGAGAAAGATAGCTGAGCACTCCCAACGCACTCTAGTGCGGCGCGGGACTAGATTTGATGGCCGAGTGCGAGCGCGGGCGCGTGCGGTAATGCACTCACTCTACTAAAACAAAATAGAAACGATTTACAGGCCAGAATTTCTATTCATTTTGTTTGCAGCGTTGAGCGATATAGCCAATCACAGACATATGTGTTGATTTCTTGAACGCAATGGCCAATCAGAAGCATTTAAGATAGACTCCCCTCACGCTCAAAACTGACTTTTTTGTTCAGTGCTGAATTCTGTATGCTGGCAAATCCTCCAATTATAACGAACAACGTGTGGATATTATGAAAGATTCATTGTGCAGTCAGCTTCATTGATAATAACAGAGATGTGTGAGATCGCGATGAACTGTCAGCTTTTTAGGAATTATTAAGAGAGCGCACTTTGCGTCCCAAAGTCATCCCAAACCATGCACGCATAGTAAACTGCTTGCTTTTATGTTAAATTAACAGTGGTTTGTTGTGTTTTAATGCTTTAATAACAAATAATTTATCAGGAGGATGTATGGTGGCGACACGTAGGCTAACTTGAAAGTATTTGGAGGTACAGAAAAAAGTCTATTTGCGGGCGGGAGCGGGACAAAACATAAATGTTGCGGGCGCGGCAGAAAGAAAGTTGAGAACGTCAGTTATAACGACCCACGCATTAAAAAATGGTCGGGTTAAAATCGGGCTCGGGCTCATAATTACATTAAATGTGTCGGGCCGGGCTTGATTTTTTGGGCCCGATCTAAGCTCTAATTTGTAGCCTACTTATCATTTTGATACAAGAGGGCTAATATACCACTTACAGCATGTGTTGCCTTCATTATAAGGCTTATATAAAGCTTTTAATTTTTTGCGGCTCCAGACAGAATTTTTTATTTTTTTGCTCCAATATGGCTCTTTCAACATTTTTGGTTGCCGACCCCTGGTCCAGGACATGAGGTTTTCCAGACGTTTGGAATAACTTCAGTTTATTGTTTCCACAGCGTGGGATGTGACCCTGGACCACAAAACTAGTCATAAGGGTACATTTTTTAAATTAAAATGTATGCATCATCTAAAAGTGGAATAAATAAGCTTTCCATTGATGTATGGTTTGTTGGGATATGAAAATATTTGGCTGAGATACAACTATTTTAAAATCTGGAATCTGCGGGTGCAAAAAAATCTAAAATTGAGAAAATGGCCTTTAAAGTTGTCCAAATGAAATGTTTTATATATTTACGGTTGGAAATTTACAAAATATCTTCATGGAACATGATCTTTACCTAATATCCTAATGATTTTTGGCATTAAAGAAAAAACAATAATTTTGACCCATACTGGCTATTGTTGGCTATTGCCACAGAAACACCCGTGCGACTCGAGACTGGGTCTGTGATCCAGGGTCACGAATAGGTTATTTGTTAAGTGCCTTGCAGTTCGATATCACTTCAATACATTCTTTCCAAACTGTTACTAAGTTTCGGTGGTTAGGCTGTTTCGAGAAAGATACTTAGGGCTTTACTAAACAGTGTCGATGGAAGCAGAAAGTTCTGCTGGTGATTAAATGACAATGCAATTCAGCAATATTATTGATCTCCTGCATTGACAGCATTATATGAGAACTGAACTGAGCTGGACGATGACATCACGGTTTTCTCCAGAGCGGCTATATATGTAAATTAACTAAATTAATAACTTTTTTACAACAAAAATGAACCATCAATGAACTTACTTAAGCTGGACTGTGACGCTATTCTCTTCTAGAATCAAACTTTGTTGCATTATTTTCCTGTTATCTCTGTAAAGCTGCTGTGAAACAATATGTATTGTAAAAAGCGCTGTATCAATAAAGGTGATTTGACTTGAATGCACAAATTAAAGAACATATGCAGTTATGTCAAGTGCAAAGTGGGTTAAGACATGCTTTTGTTAAATAATGCTGCAAATACCAGTAAACTGACTACCACAAAATTAGTAAATCACCTTGTGTGATGGTAGTGCTACAAATATGAGCATCTTTTGAATAAAAACCTGAAAATGCCCCATGATAAAAACATGTATATGTGATAAGTGGAATAACTGCAAATCACACATATCCACCTGTAGTGGAATGACATTTTTAAGAGATTGCATTAATCATTTAAATCAGTACAAATATTTTAGCATGGACAATTCATTCTTCTGTGTGCATGGGGTTCAAAGGGTTAAAACCGATTTATATGTGGATCCCACTCACATTAAAACATCGAAATGTCAGATCACTCACAGTGTTGTCGGCGTAGGCTTCTGTCCACACCATGTCATGCTCTCGATCGATGACCTTGGGTCGACTGAGCACATGCAGATACTCCATCACATTCTCCTGAACATCTGCCAGTGTGGAGATCTGCGTAAAATAACCTGACAGCACAGAAAAACATTACAATAATCACAAATATTCACTGTTATGCGTATGCATACAGTACATGCCCTAGTGAAAAAAACCTGTACCAAATTGTATTTGAAGTACATTTATTTCATACTAAGTAAACTACAAATCCATTTACTTATTTACTGACATATTGCTTGAGACTTACTGATATCAATATTATAATTAAACATTATTTGGAGTACCTCTTTATTGCACAATACACATTTCTTAAAATTAGGCCTAAAATTTGTTTTAATATCACTCTTAGTAAGGACAACTTTTTTTCTTTTTTTTTTACCGCCAATTTTGTCCCGGCGTCCATTTTCAAATAGACAACTCATATTTCACATCATTTCCCATTCCACTTCTCGCGTGTGTTTTCGTGACAAAGCGTAATTTGGGGACCAGATAGAGTCATTGGGTGACAGAGTTGTTGTCAGCTCGTGTAGTGTGTAACCCTGTTGCAGATCATTTACGTAGTGTGAACACCACAACGAATTCAAGACTCCAGAGCAAGTCATGTAGTCTAAAGAGCACAGCGATCTGGTGACGTTTAAAGTTTAAAGTTGTGTAGTGTGAACTAGGCATTAGCCGGGCCAAATTCTAGCCAAGATTCGTGGACCGAAAATGCGTGCAGGTCCCCAACCCTCTTGATGGAGGCCAATGCAACCAGGAGTACTGTCTTACAGGACAGAATTTTTAACTCTGCTGACTGCAAAGGCTCAAAGGGTGGTCTCTGAAGAGCCGAAAGGACCAGAGACAAATCCCAAGAGGGTTATCGAGAGTGGGCGAGGTGGATTTAGACTCCTCACCCCCTTTAGGAACCTGACGATCAGGTCGTGCATTCCTAGCGATTTACCCTCAACTGCATCCTTCTTGCAGGAAGGAAAGTACAGCTCTGATCGAGCAAGTTTGGGGGTTCTCCTGGTGAGAAGAACACCACTCAACAAACAGGTTCCACTTCAACGCATAGAGGCGCCTCGTAGAGGGGAGTCAGGGAGTAGAACAACTGAGCAGGCCCGGAATATGAATGACCTCAGATGCTTCTGACTCCATAGGAGGAGATGGCGGGCGAGTTGTGACATGTGGCGGGAGCGTAGACCACCCCGGGACTCTATTGTGGAGCCAGTGTTGAAGCGGCCTCATATCAAGCAATCCGAGCAGTGTGACCGTGGCTGCAGATGCCATATGCCCCAGGAGCCTCTAAAATAGTTTCAGTGGTGCCGCTGTCATGCGTCTGGGCGAGCGCACGCAGTCCAACAATGACTGGACGTGGGCCTCCCTGAGGCACGCTGTCATGTTGATCGAGTCCAGCTCCATACCGAGAAAAGAGATCCTCTGCCCAGGGCTGAGTTTGCTCTTTTCCCAGTTGACCCGAAGCCCTAGGTGGCAGAGGTGACTGACCACCACGTCCCTGTGTTCGCACAACTGCTCTCTCGACTGCGCCAGAATGAGCCAGTCGTCAAGGTAGTTGAGGATGCGAACACCACGCTCGCACATGGAAGCAATGGCCACCTCCACGACTTTCGTGAAGACACGGGGAAACTGGGCCAGCCCGAAGCCGGTCTTCATAACGGCTGGAGGGACCGGCTCGAATGCGTCCTTCGCCAGTAGATGCCCGGAGCACAGGGGCATTGTCCGCCAGAACACGGGTGAACTGAAGGCTGGGGGGCGCGGGGGGAACAGGCAGAAAGCAGGGACCCGACTCGAACTGCATAGCGGCCCGAAGTGGGGTCTGAGAGTGTGGTGCAACACATACCTGCTTCCGTCGAGGGGCAGAGTGAGTGTGCGGAGGCCATTTGAGTGCATCTGAGACACAGCCACTGCTGCTCGCTGGCAATAAAAGAGGGGCCTGAGGGTGACAAGGCATAGCGGCGTACACCGCCAAGCACGCCCTCTTGGGACCCAGAGGTTTCAGAAACTGCTCTTTTATTGAAATTGTGGGAATTCAATGGCCGAACAAAAAGAAAAGGAAACAAAAGATTCTCCACCCGGCCCTCCACCGGGGGAAGGAGCGGCGCGTTCACCATCTCCTGAAGAGCAGTCTGATCCACCTCTGGGTCGCCCGTCTCAGGGTTGTTTACACCTCCGCTTGCCACCTGGTTTGGCAGTGGCCTGGATGGGGTCGATTGGCTCCACGCTGTGGCCTGGGTGGTCAAGTCATGTCACATTTATTTATATAGCGCTTTTTACAATACAGATTGTTTCAAAGCAGCTTTACAGAGATAACAGGAAAATAATGCAACAAAATTTGTTTCCAGAAGAAAATAGCGTCACAGTCCAGCTTAAGTAAGTTCAGTGATGTTTAATTTTTGTTGTCAAAAAGTTAATAATATGGCTTAGCGGGAGCGGAGGACGCCACAGGAGGTCGACCTCAGCGACGAGCGGAAAGAGGGGCTGCAGCGGTCCGGCGGGGCAGGATGTGCCGGATGGCCTCCGTCTGCTTCTGGGCAGCCGAGAACTGTTGAAGCTCTCGACTGCGTCGCCGAATAACCCAACCTGGGAGAGGGCGGAGTCCAGGAACAGATATTTATTGGTCTCCCTCACTCCTGCCAGGGTGAGCCAAAGGTGGCGTTCCTGGACCACCAAGGTGGACATCGCCTGACCAACGGAACGTGCAGTTTTCTTCGTCGCCCGGAGGGTGAGGTCGGTTGCCGCACGGAGCTCCCGGAGGAGCTCTGGGTCAGAACCACCCTCGTGCATGTCCATGAGCGCCTGGGCCTGGTGGACCTGCAAGAGCGCCATGGCATGGAGGGTGGAAGCAGCCTGTCCACAGGCTCTGCTAGCTTTCGCCGTTAGACCGGACGAAAACATACATGCCCTGGACGAGAGGCGAGGATTACCTCGCCAAGAGGCAGCGGACGCTGGACCCAGTTGCATTGCGACGGCACGCTCCACTGGCGGGATATCCATATCACATACCCCTTAGCGCCTACGCCATCAAGGGTGATGAGGAGGGAGGAGCCACTAGGACGGCTTCTGGCGCTATACGGCGCAGTCCACGTCCTAGTGAGCTCCTCATGCACCTCCGGCAAGAATGGCACAAATCGTCCAACCGAGAGGGTTCGAGAATAGGTAGATGAGTGGTGGACTGAAGCTCCCCAAACGATGCTGCGACTGACATCTGGTCATCAGCTGGAGCCCCAAAGGAAACGACTGGTCATCCATGCGAAGGACCAGCGCGCTCCGTTGAAGGATCCACCGGCTGCTGTGATTGTGAGGCTTGACGGGCCCACAGAGACTGGCTCGGCGGGGCAGCCCTCACGGTAATCCTCAGATCACCCTGGCTACACGCCGAAGTAGCTCTATTCTGGGGACCAGAACGGGGCATAGGCGAGGGGACTGCACCTTCCTTGAGGTAAGCGAGTCTCGATCTTAACGCAGCCATAGTCATGTTCCCGCATTGAGAACATGAACTATTCACAAAAGCAGCCCCAGCGTGCTTAATGCCCAAACACGAGAGGCAGCTATTGTGGCCGTCAGCTGGTGCCAGGGAACGACCACATCCAGAAACGCACAGGCGGAATGACATCCTGAAAAGGACGCAAATGTCACGCCTGTGATGCTCTTTTAGTAGAAAAAAAGAAAGAAAATAAAACACTCTTTCAGTGCTGAGGCACCCAGGGATAGCCGCGGTGTAACAAGGTGATACACACTCAATGGAACGCCCACCGAACCCACACACACACAGAATGTAATGCTGTGAAAATGCAGATAAAATGTATTACAGATCTGCATGAGTTAGAATGATCTAGACTAACCTTTATTAGCACAAGCCATCCATTTGAGATTATCAGCGAAGGCAGACTCTCGACCGATCAGGTATGGGAACACACGCACCTGCAGAGAGAGAGAGAGGGGGAGAGAGAGGGAGAGAGAGAGAGAGAGAGAGAGAGAGGGGGGGAGAGAGAGAGAGAGAGAGAGAGAGAGAGAAAGAGAGAGGGGGGGGGGGGAGAGAGAGAGAGAGAGAGAGAGAGAGAGAGAGAGAGAGAGCTCAGGTCATGTTCAATCCCTCAACAGCAGATAACACACCAGCATATAATTACTTTACTCTGTAATCTTTGAGCTTCGATAGACGTTGCCAAACGATTAAAGCCGCTTTGTACTAACGATTTGAAAACAAACAAAAAAATCTATGATGATTTGGTGGAGTCAATCAGAGGTCATTGCATTAGAAATGTCAGAACTAATTTTCAGTGTTTCTGCACCTCAAGTGCAACAAATGGAACTGCAAAAAAAACACAGTGTTCTATAATAATCATAAATGTTTCTTTAGCAGAAAATCAGCATATTAGAATAATTTGTATTCATGTGACACTGAAGACTGGAGTAATGAGGCTAATAATTAGCATCAGGAGGACTTGAACGCGTCATCAGCACTGACGTCTGATTACTCAGCGCTGCAACACCTCTGATGCTCTCCAGAGCACAAACACAGATATGCACTGGAGCCCCGGTGTTCGTGTCGCTGGAACTGGACCTGGACCTGAGCTCTGAGACGAGCTTCTACCCCACAGGCAAACCGACTCGAAGGAAGACACCGAGGGTTTATGGGGATATTTGGGACGTGGCCTGTGTACCTCGACTCCTTTGGTTCAGCAGTTAGGGACCCCTGATGGAGAATCAAAACTGGATTTAATAATATCTGTGGAAAATTACCTCTTCGCCTCATTTACTTAGAAATAATAGTTTCTGTTTTATAAGCACTCCTACTTTCGGAGTTTAGATCCAACTTGCGAGCGATCCTGAAGGGCTTGATTAGCTGGATTGTGTGTTGGATCAGGGTTGGTTTTTAATGTTGTTTATGTGTCTATGTGGTTTTTTTAATACGCTTTAAGACACACCATGTGTAAGTTCATAAGTCGACAGCATTGCTGAGTATTTCCTGCTTAAAACTGCAGTGAACCAAAGACAGTCTCAAAAACACGGTTTGAAATCGCTGGTGTTTCTGACGTCACAAACGACCTTGTAACCAATCAGATCAACGTGTGATCGTCAACCAGTGGATCTCTGAGCTGAGGGAGTGAGTGGAGGCGGGGCTCATTTGCATATTCATAGAACCGCACATACTAAATGAGGCGAGGGTGTCGAGTTACATTCAAGACATTTTAAGACATGAAGATATTTTCTTTTTTAAAGGCACACTGTGGAATTTTTGGCCACTAGGGCGCGCTCGACCTGTAATTTTCACGTCTAGTGCCCCTAGAGGCCACAAGCGTCTCAGCATTGTCGCAAAAGTCAACAAACAGTCAACCGGTCAACCTCCCGTGTCTTTATGCGAGTGCAGACGGCATTTGATTTGTATGTTGGAGAAAGTTAATCGATTCACTACTGACCAAAATAATAATATAAATATAAGATTAATAATATAAATCCTATAAAGAAAACAAATTGAATAAAAGTAGCATACGCAGAAAACAATGTCTGATCAGGTAAGTCGCATTGACAAGGGTTGCCCAATCCTGCCCCTGCCGATCGTCTGTCCTGCACAGTTCATCTCCAACCCTAATCAAACACACCTGAAGCAAACAATTAACGTCTTCAGGATCTCTTTGCAATGGGTTGGAGATGAAATCGAGTAGTCGGGAAATCGTGTAACAAAACTGATATAACTCACTACATATTTCCGTTATTTGTAGTCTTCAGTTTGTTTTTCCTTTTACACAAATACAAACATATATGAGCTGAAAGGAAAAAAAAACATTTACATTTGTATACGGCAGTATGTTGTGACTTATATCAGTTTTGTTACACGAATTCGCAGTAAATATTACATTATATATACACTTTTATGCCGATGTTTATTTTAAACTCTCCCTTTTTCTTTTTTTGGTCTCCTCTGACAAAATCTTTGCTTTCTTCCGAGTAGCTGTTGATTCAGCCATGACGACAACATACAGACGCCGGCAATCAAACACGAGTTGAGCTCTCACGTTAGAATTTGAGGAAGTTGGGGTGGTGGGGGAAGTGACGTATGCCGTAAAGCGGTCGAATTTTGTAGTTCTTTTTGTGCTCGGGTTCCTACCCGAAACCCGAAGTTACATAGTGCTAGGAAAAGCGATACAGACACCTTCAGGCTACGGCAGACGTGTCATTCAACCTATTGTAAGTCGATGTACCATCTCAATGGGTTTTGGTAATATATTATAAAGGTTGAAAAGTTCCACAGTGTGCCTTTAAGGAAAAAACTATTAATGAGTTTTAAGCGATATAATTATTGACTACAGGGGGACTCTGTCGATATAAAGGTGTTATTGCATGGCAAATTGGATTAATGAAGGTTTTCATTGGTTTAATGTAGAAATCAAAGAACCACTAGCACTACAACCAATCAGTGTGAAGAATTAACTCGAGTAAAGTAGATTCAGACCACGAGGAAGACATCAGCCATGCCGAGCGAGGGATGCATTATCAGTGAAGGGAACAATAACAGCGTGATTGAGGCAGATGAACAAAAGAACACTATATCGGAAGCCTTTTTACCAGGCTTATTTCAGCATGTGTTTAAACTGCGCCTGCCACCAGATCCAGGGAAACGCCACTGTAAAAGAGATGCTGAATACTCACCTGAGAAACATTTACATGTCCCTCACAACCATTTTTTGTTTTCTTTAGCATCTGATGTCAAATTCCTCAGAAATGTCATTTGTCAGACAGGTTAATTGTCTCGATCAGTTTATGAATTGTTTGGAGAAGTTTTTCTCCCCATAAAACAGTAATGCAGACGTGCTCTGGATGAAGTGAATATTTACATGTAATCTACTGAAACAACCTGTGAAGTGCATCAGAGCACACAGAAACACTGAGAGTGAACACCATGGTATCGTTTCATTCCATAACTGTACTAGTGCTACCACAATACACTACAGTTTCGAATGGTGTTTTTCGGTGTTCACTCAACCCTGTTGTGAGGATACGGCTGAGAGTTAGACCATCAGTTGGCCATAAACCATTTCCAGTGTATGTGCGCGTGATGTCACTGTCACACACACACACGGTTACACACACTGAGCGGCAGTAACACTGACCGGCTTCTGTGGTTTTCAGTGTGAATGCCACGAAAAACACACAAAACATCTAAACCGGGAAAGAGCTTTGAGATCGACTAGATTTGAGCAGAGATCTGAGGTATATTTTCACAGACGGCTGAAGCTGCAGAACAGAGAACGCATCGCTGAGATCCACAGAAACGATCCAGGCAGAGAAAGCAGGATTTGCAGTTCATTTTGTGTCAATATGCTGAGTTTAGGGGTAAAATCATACTCAATATATTGTATTGGTATATATTGTATTAACAACTCATCAATTAAATATTAACCATCTTATATTCTGCATAATTGG